CATAAAATCACAGACTGGTTTGGGTTGGAAGGGACCTCAAAGTTCATCCAGTTCCAACCCCCTGCTATGGGCAGGGACAGGACACCTTCTACTAGACCAGGTTGCTCCAAGCCCTGTCCAGCCTGGACTTGAACACTGCCAGGGATGGGGCAGGCGCAACTTCCATGGCAACCTCTTTGTCTATTTCTCCCTCTATTATTGCTATTACTGTATCACTATTGGTATTAGCATCACCATAACTGTTGCAGGCCGGAGCGATCCTTTGGACCACAGTCTGACTGCGCTGTGCGCTATACCAGAAGCCCACAACTCCCACCCTGGAGCCTTCCCAGTGTAAGTGCTAGGGAAGAGCAGGCGGGATGGGGCAGGGGCAAGCAGCTCCAGCACACAGCCAGAGCCCTCCCTGCCCAGGAGCTGGGACGGGGCTGCTGGAGCTCAGCACTGGGACCTGCTGGTGGTGTCTGGGGACAGGGCTGGGAGCGCAGCCGCAGGCAGGTGAGGCTGCGGGGCCCCGCACGCAGGAGCTGGGTAATACGATAAGGAGCTCATGGCATCACAACATAAAGGCTCATCCAGCTAAAAAAAGCCCTGTGGCGGGGGTGAGGCATTATTAACACCTAAGTGAGAGGGATCTTACTCCTGCGCCACATTTAGGCTCCAGGAACTTGGACAACGATTTCATTTTAGAGGCAGAGGCGCACCGAGCTGATGCACAGATAATAATAACAACAATAGCAATATCATTTACAGCCTGAGACAGTGCTTTTGGGCCCCACTGTGCAATGCACAGTACAAACACCTAAATGAGGGCAGCCCCTTCAAGCTCCTCAATCTTAAAACTAAACAGGGAACAATGGGGAAATGATGGCACACAAGGACCTGAATGCCTGGGCTTTCCCTGCCTGGTTTTGGGCTGAGTCAGAAGATGTGGAGGACAGGAGGGTGAGAGGGATGGAGCAGAGGCAGGATGTGAGGATGAGCCAGCAGCAGCAGGGGTGAGAAGAGTGCGGGATGAGGACATATTCTGCAGAGGAACAGGGCATGGAAGGGGAACATGTCCCTGCAGGAACACAGGGCACGGGTGGGGATGCTTCCCTCCAGAGGAGCAAGGCATGGATTGAGATGTGTCCCTGTGGAAGAACAGGGCATGGATGGGGACAGCCCAGTGCAGCCCCTTCTGCTTACCCCATTCCCCATCAGGTTCTGCTGCCCCAGCACTGTGCCCGCCCCAGACATGGGTTTGTGCAGGCAGTGGCTTTGGCTCTCTAACCCACTTCAACCCCAAACCTAATTGGGGCCAAACCCACACAACATGGGCTCCCTGTGGGTGTGAGGTGAGCCATGTCCCCATCCACAGGCTCTTCTCCAACCCCTGGGGGCTCTCCATCCCTGCATCATGCTTCACCAGTGGCAAGGAGAGGTCAGCGGCTTCCTGCTGCACCTGGATGATGGCATAGGCTGATCCTGCTCCTTCGACAGTCCTGGGGTTCAGGTGCTCCATGTTCCCCATGGAGGAATCAGGTCTTAGGACTGCTTTGATGGGCCTGGGGCATAGACAGCATCAGAGCAAAGTCATGGTGGCCACTGGTCCTCCAGTGAGAGCAGAAACCCACTGGATTTGGTGCTTGGTGTACTTGCTGCTGGGTGTGCTCTGAACTCTGGTGGAATTCACCCCCTGAGCACCAATTCTTCCATGTGGACCAAATCACAGTGCGATTGTAAGAGCGAGACTACCAGAAAGGGGCTTCTTAAAAATGAGGGGACCTCCAACTTCTCACACCCTGCAGCACCATTCTCCCTCTCACAGCTTCTACCCAGTGGGACTTCTGCCTGGGTTGATCAAGTCCCAAGCTGGGGCCTGCACAGGGATGTTGGCTGCTGCCATGGTCCTGCATCCTCTCCCTGAGCCCAGCTGTCCTCTGGGAAGCTTCACATGCCTGGAGGGTCACTGCTGCCCACCCCACTTCTGCTCCCAGGGCAGGCTGGCACTGGGGAAGGCTGTGAACAGGAGACAAAGAGGCCACTGAGCAGGCAGGGAAGTCACCATGATCACAGAATGGCTTGGGTTGGAAGGGACCTTAAAGCTCATCCAGCTCCAACCCCCTGCTATGGGCAGGGGCACCTCACGCTAGAGCAGGCATGGTCTCCTGGGGGGGGGGGGCACTGCCATCCTCCAGCTTTTAGGCTGCTGATAGCTCTGCCACTGCCCCTCCAAGTTGTATGCAGGAAAACAGAAGCTCCCATCCAGTCATGGGGTCTCAGCCCCCTGTAAGATATGGGGGCGATGTGGACCTGGGTGTCATCTCTCATCACTGCCCTATTTCACATCAAAGTGAGGATGCTGGCAGAAGACCGAGGTGCGGGCTGCAGCGAGGCCATGCAGGGTTACTCTGGAAAATATGTGCACTGATATTTTATTCATGTGAAGCTGAAGTGGCTGGTATGAAATAAAACAGCTTGTGGAGTTTCATACCTCGAGTCAATGAATTCCTGTGCCTTTTATAGCTCAGGAATGCCGGGCACTCGCGGTTGGTTTTACAGGGCTGTGAAGGTCTGGATGGACATTAATCACTGCAGGGACAATGACAGCTGCTGTGTTTTACCCAGCCCTAAGGCAGGTATCGCACTGCTGCACATTACACCCTGTTCTCCCTCTTTGCTTTGGGCTGCAGAGAGGGGGGTTATTACCCTGTGGAACCACTGGGTCCACTGGTTTTAGTACTGGGATTCAAGGGGTGAGTCCAAGCCCAGCACATGGCCTTAGGGACACCCCTGCACTGTGCTGCCCCCCTCCAAGGCTGACATTCAAACAGCATTCCTGCACCATGGGAGAGAGGAAGGCTGCTTCCTGAATTTCTATCATCTCTGTAATAGGAGCTACAGACCCGTAAGGAGATAGGTATTGGGGTCTTTCAAACCCTCACCACTGCAGGCTGATGGCCAGCACAGACCCACCAGGTAGCACCAACCCACCCCCTGCTGTCTGCGTGAGCAGCTCATCCACTACAGGGTACCCAAAAACCTGGCTAAGGGTGGTGCAGGAACACAGCGGGATGCTCAGACCCAGACTGCCTTGCTGGGTTGCATCCAGATCCCAGACTGGGGATCCTGAATGCAAGCAGACCCCGGCAGCATCCTTCCTGCTGGTGATGATGCCTGCACTTTGCCCGTGTTTCACTGCAGTGTGCCTCAAATCCAGCCCCAAGAAGTACTTAATGATGTGAGAAATCACAGCTTTTCCCCAAGGATGCTGTTTCAAATCACTGCTGTCTGTACATTTGCTGCACCACAATGCAGGGAGGAGAGAGCCCTGGATGTGGTGCCAAACCAAAGCAGAGAGGACATCGCAGCTGTATAGTGCACTGAATCCAAGTTAATTGGACTGAAAAGGTCCAGTCATTTTGGGTGGGACTTGACTTGTGATTTTGGAATGCTTCAAAATAGCAATTTTGTTGATACTGTTAGCTCTTCTGAGCACTCTCCCTATATGTGGCAAGTGAGGGGACCACTGCCCAGTATTGGGAACATGGAGTAATAGGGGATCTTAACATTTAAACAAATGGACTCTCAATTGCATGGTTTTGTCGGAGGTTAATATGCAAAATGTACTTAACCTGGAGACAGCTTTACAGGGATGCTCTCGTTGGCTGAGGATCCATGCTGAAAACACAACCCAAAAACAGAATAAACCTCCTCCTTGTTATACCTGAACACAGCTGGTCATGAGCCTTTCCACCCCAACACTGCTTTGGCCTCTATTAGTTTCTTTTCTCCATGGCATTCAAACACCAATCTAAGCCCCAGATTTTCCTGTCAAATCTTACCCATTAAAAAGCCACAATCTCAGCAATCACCACATTTTTGCTCTTGGTGGTAAAGAGCCAAGACACCACAAACACTTCAGCTGCCACCGAAGATGGAGGATTCAGATGGGCTTGCTCGCAGAGGGAACACGAGGTGCTGGCATGTGGGTGAAGCAAACCACTGCTCAAGTTACTGCAGAGCCCCTGCATCTTCACTGACACAGTGCTGCCCAGGGCAGGATGGGTTTTTAACATGTGTGAGGATATAGGGAGAGGAGGCTGTGACAAGCAGAGGAGAACCCATAGGGGAGAGATGCCCTTAATGGCTTTCATGCCTTTCATGCCTGCAGCTCCCTGGGACGTGGTTCAGGAATTTCCTAACAGACACTTTGAAGAGCATGTGAGAGCCTGCTGAGCAAACCTCCCTTACTCACTCTGAGCCACGCACTTGGGTAACTTTTGCTTCCCTCCCCCCATTTATTCCAGTTGCATAAGCAAACAGAGCAGTATTTCAACAGGAGCATTCCCCTTGCCTGCCCAACAGCTTGAAACAGGATCTGATCTATATGCCTTACTGAAGATGTTATAGTAACTCAGGAATATCTAGATCTATGAGGTATTTGGGTATCTCACTCACACTGATCCAACCTGCCAAATAAAGAAGCTCCAGACCCTCCGGAACAAAAATAAATCAATGTGAGTGCTATACAAAAGCGTCTCATTCAGTTTCCACCCTCATTTCCTTTGGTGAAGATGATCTTGGTAAAATTCTGCTCTTCTTGCTTGGCAAAGCTCTGCTTCACAGACCCACAGATTTCATGCCCACATACACCTACTGGTGGCACATGCTGTGGGTCTTTCGTGAGCAGCTATGAAAAACAGAGATGAGGCAACCTCACAGTTACAGAATCAGAATGGTTTGGGTTGGAAAGGACCTTAAGATCATCCAGTTCCAGGTGGCAGGGACACCTCACACTAAACCATGTCACCCAAGACTCCATCCAGCCTGGCCTCGAACACATCCAGGGATGGAGCATTCGCAGCTTCCTTGGGCAACCCATTCCAGTGCCTCACCACCTTCCCAGTGAAGAATCCTGAGGTACCACTTCTTAGTCTTAGCATGTGGCGTGCAAAGCTTCAGCTGTTTAAGAAGTCCTTTCCTCTTGAGGACTCGATATACTCACACTGGAAAAGTGGGAAAATAAACGTGTTTATACATTTATTATATACAATATTAAGGCACAAGTTTAAACAGCAAAGAATAAGAAATCTTTGGCTGACCAACAATATCAATATTTGCTGGGGGTGACACATAACTTTCCTCACTTCCCCCCTTATGTACAAGTAACCCTCCAGCTGTACAACACTGTATACCCACTTCTCTATACAACCAACAACAATAAAAAATGACAGTATTTTACAACGAGTTACCAAAGTCACCTGGAATGGCTACAGCACAGTTTCCCAAAACACAAAACAGTTCCAAGAGGTGGGAAAACCAGCACAAATGGAGTTGTGCCACTCTGCTGAGAGGGGCTGATACATGGCAGTAATACTCCATGCAGGTCCTGCTCGTGCTTGGGCTGAGGGGAGACCCACTGGTCCTCCAGACGTTCCCTCCAGGAAAACTAACATCTCTTGAGTTCAACATGATAAAGGAGAATGAACCTTTGGGTTTATTTGAGCTGTTGCCTACAAGAGGAGTTGACTACACCATCGTCTCCAATGACCAGTTGCCTGCAGGTGACCATGAATCTGGGAGCAGCATTAATTGTAACACACCTTTGGATAGCAGGAACTGGAGGGACCGTTGTCTCTATGAGGAGGAGGAGTGCTGTACTCTAGCTGACTTGGAAAAGCTGAGCTGAATCACTACCAAACATAATTGAAAGCCACATCATGCACGCTGATCCCACACTGTTTCTGCTGGATGCCAAGCTGTCTGCCTGCACACACCCTGTTAAACAGTTTCATCAAAAGAAATAATTCAGCTGGTAATAGAATGCTTAAGGGCTTCCAAGCACCTCGGTATCCTTATTTCCTGGAGAAACATGATGAAATGAAATGAAATATTCATCACTGTACTCCCTTGCTTTTGCTTCCTCTTCTCCTCCTACCACAGACATTTGAGAAAGGGCCACAGAGGTGGGTAAGCACTGATGCCACTCATGGGCCTAGCTTTTATGCAAACACAACGTTTAAGTTTAGAGAAAAACACAAACCCAATATACCCATTTTACACGGCATATATTAAGCTGCATAACATCTTCCAAGGGTTTTACACATTTGGTTTCACAATGCAAAGCTGCTAATACTTGAAACGCACAGCTCACTTGCCTGCACAACCTGCCTACCACTACTTTAACAAGTGCAAAAATCAGGAAGAGGGAGACACTGACACATCTAATTCTATGTACACGCAAAAGTAAGTGCATAGATTTACCATAGCAATTGGTTTTGAAATACCAAAGGCATCAGCCAGGCAGTGTTGAGTGCATGGCTCTGGCCCCTGAAGGCTTTGAGGACTTCAGTTTTCAGTGAAAGCAGAGTTTAAAGTGCCTGGTGTTTTCACAGTCGAGGGCTCTGATTTAATACCTACAAGAAGGGGTGGCCTTGAGTTAGCCCTGAGCACACAGTTACTTCCAGCACCCATCACTCTTCCACTCTTGGCAGCTTCACACAAAATCCCATCACCCTTTTTCCCAAAGACAAGGTCTTCGCAGTGTCACTACAGTGCACTACGAGGTTCAGGAACAGCAAAGCCAACACAAAAACATCTTACAGAGGAAAACCTCCCTATTGGCATGTGCAATGTACGAAGCAAATGGCATGTCATGAATAACACAGCTGGGGAGTTGGCTGCCTCACAGTCACTACCTCTTACGGGAATCAGGGACTGAGCTGAAAATGACCCATTTCCACTCTGGGTAAAACAAGGTGGAAAGAAACTGCAGTTCAGCACAGCAAACAAGAGGATGCTCATGTACTACTTTGCAGTTAAACCCTTCCTGGCCTGATCCTACACCCCTTAGTGCCCAGCCCCATGTCAGCTTGAACGGCAGGTTTGTATTCTCAAGGAAGGTAGGATTTGGCTGTAGGCATTGAGAATAAGGTAAAAGCCCATTCTTACCATGAACACACTGATTCTTCCACTACTGCGAACCAGTGCACAGTAAGAGGCATCTTCACAAGCAAACCCATCTTAACTCAACCGAAAACACACACCCCTCTGAATGCAACACACAGCCCTTCAGGGAGCTGCTAGGATCCTACCTCGACCTTCCCTCCTGGAGCCTTCCCATTGCTTCAGTGGGGCCTTCCTCCCCCCTCTACATTCATCCTCTATGGGAATTCCATCCAACAACTGCTCCTACCAAAACCAGAATTCGCAGCAAGCTCCAGGATTGCAAGACATGAATATTTGCACTGTAAATCCAGCTCCAAGAGCAACACTTGTCCAGCCAGGAAAGAGGCACCTGACCTGCCTGCCCAGGAAAACCACACCACTTCAAACAAATACCCACAAGAGCCTCCCGTGTACACCTAAGGACCAATTATTCACAGAGATTAAGCAGCAAATACTTTAGAGAAGTTAACTGATACTGAGGAAGATGCAAGTTTCTCCTGGGTTATTCACAAACTCCCTCTGGCCTCTAAAGAGCCTGGATTTCACTCCCTGTCCCAGCTGCAGAGAGGCAGGCAAACAGAGCAGCGGTGTGCACCCAGTCTGTAACTTCGATACCTTCTCTTTACACCAGAAAATGCAGTTTCCTTTTCCCTCAATGATCCCCTTCTCGTGCCATTTTCCATCTTCAATGCCCCTTTCTGCTCAGAAAACCCCACATGTTTGTTTCATCGCTCCTCTTCAGCGTTCTTGACTCCTCGCCTGGTCCAAAGTCTCAACATACCAGACTCAAGCTTTGATTTGGGCACAAACTTTCTGTTTCTTTCTTCATGCTCTCAGGGTTAGTTCTTAAGCGTTGCACACCAAGGACCATCTCGGACCTGGCTGTATGCACAAAAATCCCCAGAGACGCTGTCCTCTGCTCAGATGAGGACTTCCATCATGTCTGTATCTGGAAATTCGGGCTTGTGGAGCAAGCTGCTCACTCTGCCTTTGCTGTCGAGCAGCTTCCCGTGGCTGGAGTTCTCTGCAATGGGAAAGAAGGGAAAGCTGGTTTCCTGCTCAAATTCAACAGCAAAATGTTTGAAGCAAAAATAAACACATTTTTTTTGGGGGGGGGTGATGGTGGGGCACTTCTCTAACTGTATGTCCTACATACTGAAAGTCATATTGGACAAGGAGGCTGAGAACATGTACTGCTCAATTCCCTGCACAATGACAGTAACTGTGTTGGTGTGCACAGACGCCAAGGGCAGGCACAAAGATGCTATTTAAGAGATACAGATCAAAGCAGCTCTTTAGCTGTGGCCCTAGAGAGAAAGAGGCATTTGTCAAAGGCTTACATCACTTTACCAAGTAACCACTTGCCATCTGATCCATGGTAGCTCTCCACATGTATATTCCTATCTGCATCATTCTACTCCTATTCTGCATCAAAATTTAGGATGTTTTAAACACCATGAAGGCAGTACACAAATAATCAGATAGGTAGTTTAATCTCAAATGTATTGCTTTGCCAGTGGGATGGGATAACAGAATGTGTATTGCGAATTATCACAATGTATGATAGATGTTGTTAGGTGTTTATCTTCATCATCATAGTTCTTGACAGTCAAATTCAGGGAGAAAAAGGACTCTGATTTCTTATAAACAGGAAAAGCTTGTTTCAGAGTACCTGGAAATAAATTCCAATCTGGATTGCCCAAAACACAGCAATCCAGAGTTTCAAGGAATCAGTGATATTCAGCCCTATTAATAACACTTGGCACATTTTCAGAAGGAAGGCTTGCTTTTGAGATGAGACGAATATATAGGAAATGGGCTTTTTAAAAATACTATGTGTAAAATAAATGTCTCCCTTGCTGGGGTGCAAACCAGCAGCTTCCACCTTTCAAATAATAATTAGAATTGTATTTCTTTAATTCCTCCTCCCCGAATCTCCACTTCCTCCTTACTATTTCCCTCCAGGTTTTCTTTAAAATCAATTAGGAAGAAAATGGTGCTTTCACTAACCACGTTTAGATTGAAAACAAGAGAAGGGTCTGAGTCCATAAGCAAGTGTGGAGTATTTTCAAGGTGTGACACTGTAGTTTTACCTTTGGCAGCATGAATAATTGCACTGATTGGAAACTCTGCCTGCCACAGGTGAGTGGAGCTTTATAGGAGCATGAAGCTCTGCAAAGCCAGACCAGGCAGCCTTGGAAAGCGTTCTCTCTGCAGTTTTAGCTTCCCTGAAGAAATCTCCCCACCGCCTTACAAACTGTAAGGTATCACCCCCCTCCATCAGTGCTGGGTGTCTCTAGGGGTCTGATGACAACCCTGGGTGTGGATGCTGGCGTTTCACACTGGGGTCCAGCAGATCTCACCCAGTTTCTCGCTGGTCCCTCGTGTCCCCGGGGGCCGTGGAGCTGGGCTGTGCGATGGGGTGGTACCCAGCCGTCCACGGCCAGGGAAGGAGGCAGTGGCAGGCCAGAAGAGCTCGGCGCTTTTGTCCGTCTGGGTGCTGCTGTCTTTGCTGCCTGTCTTCGCATGGGAGGCCACCGGTGCTGGGATGGGCATGCAGGACAAGGAGGGCAGGGGTGGAGGCAGTGAGGGGCCTGATGGATGGTCATGGTGCTCCTTCCCCAAGAGTAGCCCTGAAAACACATGGAGGTCAGTCACACCCCAGCTCAAACGTAAGTGCTGTCAACCCCATCCTACCGCAGAACTATAGGGCACTGATCTGGTTATGTCTCTAAACCTTAGCTTGGCTTAGCTTCTCCCCTTGATGCTGCCTGTTGCTCTCCTGTCAGCCACATGATTTTTCCCCCTCAAAACAGCCTCTTGAAAGCAGCTGCCTATTCCTGCATCCTCTCTGCACGTCTATCCCAGTGGTACTTACCCCTGGCACAGCCTTGCATGCCTCTATACCTCCATCCTACGTGGCCTCAAGCCACAGGCACTTCTATACTCGTTTTCCCATTTAGCAGCCAATTCACATTGTGCACTCGTACTCAAAGGGATGCTTACTCTCTTGATTAACCAGGCTTTCTTCATAGCTCAAATTTGTTATTTCCTCCCACAAAGCTGCAAACACCGTCTGATTATGTCTGGGAGGATTTCCCCCAACTATGGCCTTCTATAATCAGTGCAGAATGATTTAATAGGATCAAAATACAATTAAGATAAAATGCCAGGTTAAAAATGACTTTTTTTTGACTTCAGCGCAAGGACACACATTCTGCCCACGGAAAGTGCTCTGGAAATAAGCTGCAAGGGCAATGTGTGCCACGGGCAAGTCACTTTTGCTTAGCTCAAGCAGAAGGATTAGGATGAAGTGATGGATGAGGCAAAGCTTAACCAAACCCTGAGCTCACCTATGCTTCCCTTCCAGATCTTCTCTTCCTTCTTCTCCTCAGCTATCTGGTTGCTGGTAAGAGAGGTCTGGCGTGAATGCACACCCGTAGCAGCAGCAATGGAGGGGACGGACCGAGCCGGTCGTAGGCTGGCACTGTCAGCTTTCCCAAGGTCCTTCCGTGACCGTTGCTGAAGGACTTTGATCATGGCATCCTTCTCAATTATTTTGGCATGGAGATTCTTTATTCTGGCAAAACAGGAATGGAAGAAGTGCTTATATGGGCAGGTGTCCCCACCCTGGGGCAGCAGGATGGGTCTCTGGGTACGTGCCCTCTGGTTTTGAGTGACTCAGACAAGGCAGCCCCCACCAACTCTTCAGAGGATAACCATGCACTTTGAAACAGGCAGCTTTTCTAGCTACTAAGCCAAAACCGAGAACTCTTCTGCAAGGTTACCTGAACCCATCTATTGCTGTGGCTTTACCAACCCAGCAGGAGCAATGAGGGCAGTATCCTGACCAGGCAGCAGACTGCTTTCTCCATCAGAATACAAACACAAAGGCAATTTCCACCCCCTAAGACATCAGGGTCAAATCTCATACAGACCCCAAAAGCGCTCAAATCACAAACAGGATTATCTGAGACTTTTCTCCAGGAATGATTAACACTGAATCACAGCAAAAGAATATTAAACCATATTATAAAAAAAATACAACTGTACACATACAATATGACACCCAGATAATTATAGCTTGACTGTGACAATACACAGTCCAATGCAACTGCATTTTGTGAAGCTGAAATGCCTGGAAAACACCTGGAAAACCTACACATCCAAGGGAGATAGCGAGCAACTTCATGTCAGCATTAGTTTTCATAATCAGCTGTCTAATTTGCAATGAAAACACAAGATCCTAATCTATCATTAATGAAGCCAATGGTAAAACTCTATTCCTTCCCTGGAAGCAGGATTAGCTTGCATCTGTGAGTGGAAAACAAACCCCAAACCCAGTAAAAACAATCAATCAGTGATATTTTCCACAAGCAGCAGAAGCAGACTGGGGTTTTTACCCAAGTGTCAGTGTTTTTGTGGGGAAGCCAACACTGACAAGCAGATTTTGAGTAGTTTTTCAGTAAAATCCCAGAGGAATACACAGCCTTTCTGAAGGGATTTTTACTCATCCAAAAGCCATTTTTCACCAGGAAAAAAAAATCTGGATTAAAAATACTGCCCAGATCTAAAACTCATTGAACAACACGGCCACATGTCCATTTGTGTGCTGAAAAAGGAAAAGCACCTGCAACAATGAACGCTACTCTTGTTGACTGCCTGTGCCCCAAACAGTTTATTTTATACCTTCTACTACTTGTAAATGCATCTCTTTTAGTGGTGCTTGTGGTGCTGCCTTTGGCAGGTTTGTTCCTGAACGCCAATGCAACCATCACACAACTTGGATGTGAGATACTTGGTGCATCTAGGAGGAGGAATAAGCAGGCAAGGAGTGAAGAGCAAGGCAAAGGCAAGCCCTTGTGTTGCTGATTATGTAGGAGTGGGATTACAACGGCAGCTTTTACAACCAGACACTCGTTTCCAGAGAGGGATTTTCACCAAGATTAAACAAGCGTTCAGCTTCCTCGTGTGCCAACCTACTTTTAACAGTGGAACAACCTCTGTTTTATAACAAGGTCATCTTTGGCACAGGGAAGGTTTAACGGGAAGGTAGGGAGGAAGTTATCTAACGACAGCAACGTTTCAACCTGCGTTTTAATGCTGAAGAGCACAACAAAGTGAAGCTAAGCCCATCCTTTCCAGGCATGCGCGAAGGAAAAGAAGGGCATCCTGGTTTATCTGAACCCAGCCCAAACACACAACAGGCAGGTATTGGCACAACAGCCCCTTACGTGTACTCCATGTCCTGGCAGCGCCGGTTGGCTTGCACGATCTCCTCCTCCTCCTGCCAGCCCCGCACCTCCAGTGCGCTCTCACCATAGCTGCCACTGCGTGAGTGGCTTGGGGCTGAGGTGTCCCTGAAACAGCAGGTCAACACGGTGAGAGCTGGGTTCCTGCGGCCGTGAGATGGGCACTTGCAAAGAAAACCCCAAACCCACACTCGAAGAGCAAATTAGCGATGGGTGCCTGTCAACAGGATGGGTCATTTTGGCACTGGGTCGTCTTGCTGCGGGCTACTCTCAGCTTGGGTTTAGTCATTAATGCCATTAACTAACGGCTGATAGAGCAGGCTGAAACAGGGGGCTATCCCCAACGAGGCTAACAACCAGCCTGACACACAGGCTCAGACATCAGAGGGACTCACTGGGGAAATGGTCCCAAATTAAAAAGATTACATTGCAAACAAGAATCAAATCCGTACACTTTAAAAGGTGAGCAGTAGCACAGGAACTCCTGCCTAGACTGGAGTGCAAAAGAAAAGGATCATCCCCGGTCACACACTTAATGGTGTTTCAAAGGAAAATCTCTTTTTAGGATGTTTTTAAGGGATTTGGCTTCTAAGAAACTGGGGCAAGAATTATGTTGTCATCCTCATCAGTGGAAAGCCTCACTGCAGTGCCTTGTGTGCTTTTAGGCACCATGTTTTGACACAAAGTGGAGACAGACCAGACAAATGCTGTGTGAATGGGAAGGGCTTTACACCAGGGCAAGTGAGGAAAGGCTGAAGGAAGTAAGTTAGTTCAGGCCAGGGAAGACACAACAGGGGATATCTGTCTTTCAGTATTTACGAGACTGTTACAGTGTCATCTGTTGTTCATTGTTTACGTGTGGGAAGCACAAGAATCAGTTGAAGTAATCTGCAGTAAAGAGGCTTAGCTTAGCTATCAGGAGAACCTTTTTATTTTGAAGGTTAATGAAGTGGTAAAAGACAGGACTCTAGACTTTTAAAACTAGGTTAAAAACCCATGTTGCAGACTGTGGGATGGATGCAGCCATACACCAACAGTCCCTGCTCACTGCAGTGATGCTGTGTGGAGGAGCTGCCTTCCCTATGCTGTGTGCATTTGGCAGCCCAAGACGTTGCTGTTCAGTCCAGTGCTTGAATCTGGTGCCTTGATTTAATGAACTTTTGGACCTGGTCAGAAGGGTAAATCCTGCCTTAACCAACTATTGTATCTCACTGGCATGACACCACAGAGAGGTGCATTAACCTTGGCAGCCTGACTCAGCAGGGAAAGGCAAGCAAAATCCAGCACTAAGAAAACACTCATTCCTTATTATTCCCCCACACTTTGTGTGGTGAACGGCTGCATCTTACCTCTCCGTTGCAGCACTGGCCGCGGCATTCATGGCGAAGTGCCTGATCGTACTCTCCTCCAGGTACTTCTGCTCCCACTTGGTCATGTCCGCTTCCAGGGCCAGGATCCTCTCCTCCTTCTCCCGCACCAGCTCCATCAGGGCTGGGGCATTGTGCTCCGGGAGGCTGCTCGCCTGGTAGCTGCCCTGCCTCTGCCGGTGGAAACAGACAGATCCTCACCCCGTGTCACGTACAGGAGCTGCTGACCCTTTTATTCCCGCTTCCCTGGAGCATGCAGAGACATCCCCATGTCGTCTGACAAGGGCAGGTGGAACCCCCAGGCTAAACCCCTTAGGTTGTAGGAGGACAGGCAGGTTGACCACGTGTGCAACGCCTGCACATGCTTCTTCAGACCATGCTGAAGGAAGTAGGGATCCGGCTGCTCCCTGGATGTGCAGGGATTTCATGGGATACCCCAAGCCAAGGGAAAAGATAGCAAAAAAAAGCTGGTAAGGAAAAGAAGCAATGAAACTTTCAAAGTTATTCTTCTTGCTGGGACTTCACATCACATGGCCGGGCAGTGCTCAGTATGGAGAGGCAGTTACTACCTGAGGGCTTATACATAAAAGCAGAAAAAACTGTGACATGTAACCTAGCTGCATGAAACCTATTTAAAACAGCAGCTGGGAAAACACTCCAGACATGGATTTATGTCTGTCCCTTTTGGCACATTAGCTCTCTTGTGCCCTCAGGGGATGCTTTAATGCTTTCTCTGGTGCAGCAGGTAAGTTTCCAAACAGAGGGGCAGAAGATCCCCAGGCACTGCAGGGTGGCTCCCATGGGATGCTGATAAGCAGCAATGGGTGAGAAACCCTTTGCATCTATGCTGTAAGGCATTACTACTCAGGCAGGATCTATCCTACCCATTAGAGTCACTTAATCAAAGCACCTAAGTGCCATAGGTAGCTGTCCCAGGCTCCTCTCACTGCTAGTGAAGAGTGGAGGGAGATGGAGATCCAGTCCTTGACTCAGCAGAGGTTGACTGGGATGAGTACACACTGAGGGGACAGGCACAAAGCTCTGGGAGAACTCAGTAGAAGTAAACATGGTTTTTTTCCAATAAAGAATGCAAGATATTTGTTACCCTCCACAGTGCACAGTGCTGTGTTGAAGGGCAAACACGTGCCATCACACTGCAGCGAGCGCTGCAGCATCTCCATACTCCAAATCACATTTCCTGCTTCTAGACATTTATCTCCTGCTTATGGCAAGCTACAGACACCAGGGGAGGGCTGCAGCCTTTGTCTTTGGTGCAGTAATGACACGTTTGGAAGCTGCTTTATGGAAATGCTATGTGGAACAGCCCTTAGGAACTACAGCTGCGGCTGCTCCTGCAAAAACACTGTCAAACCTCTGGCAGGAAGGCAACGTTTTGGAAGCACAGCCCTGGTCTGTAAATGGCATCTTGGGACATCACTGGTGCCTGTCATCTTCTGAGTCAAAACCTCTGCCAGCCCTGCATGTTCAATTGGTTTTGGTCCTAGCTTGTGCGTCAGTGATAATGAAGATCTGCTATTTGGACTCGGTTACCAACAAGGCAGGAACAGAAGAAATTCTGGCTGTCTCTTTGTGTTCTGTGTCTCTTCTGCTGACTCCAGTAAAAAGAGAAAAAGAAGTTCTTTTTTTTTTTTTTTCCTCTGTGATGAGAAAATGTTTCAGGAGATATAATCGAGAATATATATATTATATATTACATATATATTATATATGATCTGAGTTATCAGGAGATAACTCAGAGAACTCAACTCTGAAGTAAAAAGTTGGAGCATTTTGATTGCAGCATTATGGCTGACAAACCAAAAGGTATAAATGACGACAGGAAAAAATACCCCAAAGTTCGTCTCGAAGCTGAGGAGAGACAAGTTAGAGCATCGTTCTTCTTAAAACTTGCCACAAGGAACTGGAGCAGGCATTTGAGAACTATGGCAACCCCAAATACAATCTCTAATCCCAGTGCCAAAAGACGTATTTTAAGAAGGAGGAATCTGTAAGTTACAGAGGAATTTTCTACCCAAATGAGCAGATATAGCCTGAACTGTCAAGACAATGACTTCAGTAACAGTCCATCCCATCCTACCTAACATCTCGATTTGTTCCTATATTCCAGTCCAGACAGAACAAAACTTTTCCCAGTTCTAGTTTTATCTTCACTTGAATTATAATTGTGTTCTTCTCAAATGTCTTCCCATTTGCACCAGCATCAGCATGTCATCTTCCATGTAGTCTCTTTGTTAAACTGGAGGAGAGCAGGCTACGCACGACTGAGAAGGGCTACCCGAACTAGACAGGCACAGCAAGCCCATGGCGGACAAGGCAAGAAATACTTTATACATCAGCAAGGAAAAGCCAATACGGATGGGAAGGGTCTCCAGGGAGCTGTTGGAAGGGTGCTGGGGGATCTGTCCTGCCTCAGGGCTGCTGGAGAGAAGGGGATGCTCTCAGGTCTGGCACCTCATGACCCTGCAAACCACTGATACTGGCTTTAGAGCTATATCCCAATTGCATCCTGCCAGCAGGAGCAGCCCATCTGCTTTGTGGCAGCACAAGCTCCGTGTAACAGCTGCTTTGGTCTCCACTAATGGCTCATAAATAAGGAAGGGTACTGTAGCAGATGCATACACTGACAGAGGTACAAGAGCATCACGTTTTGCTTATGTTGCTGTTTTTTCCCCAGACAGTGGTTTGATACACCTAGTGTATCTGCTCACTCTCCTCTGGAGCCTACGCCCCTGTATTTGGCATTCAGTGTGGCTGCAGCCTGGAAATCATCCTCCCTGTAACCTCCTTGTGCTGTTTTCTTTCCCCTTTTCACAGATGACTGGACTTTGGGACTTGGGGATGGAGGAGGAATAACAAAGGAGTAACTGTGCATAAAATACAAGCATAATATTACTGCTCAAAGGGGACAGGGCTGCCAAAAAGGAAAAGAAGACATACACAGAAATGCAAAGGAACACTTTAGCCCATTTTGGGCTACGCTGGTATTTAAATAATTTATTGTCTGAAGATGACACTGCTTGTATCCACATCTCTCACGGGCAGAGGTTTCTGTGAACCAGCTTTGCCCAGAACAAATACGGTGCAAGCTCCTGCACCCCCCACCATCCTCTGCTGAAGATCAGGAGTTAGCATCATATTGCGGTTTGGGTTGGAAAGGATCTTTAAAGCCCATCTAGTTCTACCCCTCTGCCGTGGGCAGGGACACCTTCCACTGAACCAGGTTGCTCCAAGCCCTGTCCAACCTGGCCTTGAGCACTGCCAGCGATGGCACAGTTGCGACACAGCCAAAGGAAAGGGGAAGCCCAATGACCTGAACCCCAAAGCAAGGTGGCACCAGGCAGGGCTGCAAATGACTGTCCCTCTTTAAAAGCAATACCAAAGGCCCCATGCAGACCACCCCATCCTCACCTGCTGCATCCGCAGTGAGTCCAGCTCCCGCTCCAGGCGCGTGCGCAGCCGCCGCTCCATCTGCTCCCTCTTCTCGCAGGCTGCCTGCAGCTGCGTCAGCGCCTGCTGCAGCTTCTCCACCTTCTCCACATAGGCCTGCTTCCTGCGCAGCTGTGGGGCAGGGGTCATAGAATCAATCACAGAATGGTTTGGGTCGGAAAGGACCTTAAGATCATCCATTTCGACCCCCCTGACATGGGCAGGGACACCTCACACTAAACCATGTCACCCAAGGCTCTGTCCAACCTGGCCTTGAACACCACCAGGGATGGAGCATTCACAACTTCCCTGGGCAACCCATTCCAGTGCCTCAGCACCCTCACAGTAAAGAACTTCTTCCTTGTATCCAATCTAAACTTCCCCTGTTTAAGTTTTAACCCGTTACCCCTTGTCCTATCACTACAGTCCCTCCCCAGCACCCTTGTAGGGTCAGCAGCGCTGGGGGCTCTGGGAGCACCCTGGGCTGATGGGCACACTTGCAAGGAAGCACTGGGCTTGAGCATGGCTGTGGCATTCTGAGAGCTTCTCTAGGGAAGGATGGTCCCACTTTGGTGGGCAGGGAAGGGCACAGCAGGCATTGCTGGGGCAGCTCCATTGCTCTTGAAGGGAGCTGCCAAGATCTCCAACCACTGGGAATCATTGGCCATTAAACCCTGTCCTGGGTTCAGCAGTAGCAGTCATGTTTCTCCTCCTTGGTAGCTGGTGCAGTGCAGTGTTTTGACTTTCAGCTTGGGAACAGAGCTGATAGCGATGTTTTGGTTTGGCCAAGGACTTTGTGAGCCTCATGCTCTGCCAGGGAGGAGGGGAGGCCGGGAGGAAGCAGAGACAGGACACCTGACCCAAACTGACCAAAGAGGTATTCCATACCACAGCACGTCATGCCCAGGAGGTAACTGGGAGTGAGCCGGAAGGGCTGGGAAACTGCAGGGTTGGAGGAGGTATCGGTCGGTGCTTGGTTGGGCTGAGGGGGGCGAGTTATCGGTCAGCTGGTGGTGAGATGATGTATTCTTTTCGCTTGTTATTTCCTTTATCATCATTATCATTGGTGGTAGCAGTAGTGATTTGTGTTATACCTTAGTTACTAAACTGTTCTTATCTCAACCCGTGGGAGTTGCATTCTTGTTGATTCTCCTCTCCGTCCCTCCGGGAGTAGGGGGAGGGAAAGAAGGGGGGGAAGTGAGTGAACGAGTTACCTGACTGGGTTTAAACCACGACAAACCCCCTGGCCATTTACCCACCACTGTGTTGGTGGATATTCTTTGGGCAAGTATACAGGCTGGCCTCAGCTAGGAGTGAGTTTTATTGACTGGTGACACTGATTGCACACAGTCTCTTTTTTCCACCCCTGCCTATCTGTTCAACGCAGGTGGAACAAGAAGAGTGCCAGCAGCCAGAAGCATTCCACCTGCTCTGTCCTCTCCTGGGCTTTGCCATACTGGTGTATAGATGTGCTGGAAGCTAAAGCCAGGCCCTCCTTAGGTATACAGTGCAATTACTGAAAGGCTAAATGTGACACAAGGATTTTGCAATACAGGGGTATTGCTCAAGCATCACACCCCAAAAGGAATTTGCAAGTGGACTGCAGATATTCAAGGGGCTTAGCAGCTATCTCCCCTTCTTCTGGCCTCCTACCACGCCACCAAGCATGTCACCAAGTGACACCATAGGGCGTTGTGATTGGGGCTCATGGCAGGAGCTGGCATGCTTGAGGGCTCTTGGGGAGATGAGGCTGCAGATACTGGACATGCTAGGCACTGGGATGGGCAGCAAAACCTGTGGTGAAACTGGACCCCCAGCCAAAATCTGGCACTGAGAAGGGGCGAGCTCACGGGGGCCAGGCACACCTTGGTGTCCATGAGCCACCCTCATCACTGGTGAGCATGGACACTGACCCCAAAACTTGCCCTTGGGGCTGTGGCAGTGGGGTCTGCCTGCCCACCCCATGGGCCACAGTCCTAGGCTCAGGAAGCCCAGTTCCCCTCTTCTCCCCCAACGTTTGGTCATGAATTTTCTCTTCACAAGCATGAACAAATTTACCTTTCTAAAGATACCTGCCTTGTAGTGGAAAAAGCAACAGTGCACACAAACCGAAGCTGCAAACCCCAAAAGACCTCAGTGAACCCCCAAAGACTCCAAAACACTCTGGACTTAATGCCCTGACTCAGAAAGGGAGGGTGAATGGGTTTGAATGCTGGATCACAAAGACTTTGCAAGCCTCTGCTGGACCCCATCTGCAGCCTGAGGATTAATGAGGGATGCTCAAGGTCATTACCATGATCACCAAGATCCTCTTTAGGACTTCTAGTCTCCCTCAGGAGGCAGAAAAACACATTAAACCCCAGTCAACACTGGGGAACTAGGTAAATAGGGGAGGCTGGAGATGTGCTGTGAGCTGGCAAGGTGAACAGGCTATCCTCACACCTCTTTTTTAAATATTTAAATCACTATTAAAATTAACTCAATGTGGGACATAGGAGCTATAGCCACAAAGGTGTGCATTTAAATACCTTGAGATGTAGTGAGAAGTTTGTTGCCTTGTTCCTGGGCATGTGGAGCAAATAAACATCAGCACTGGGTACCCCTGGCTGTGCAGCTCCCCTTCACCCAAGGTCCTCTGCTTTGCCCAGGACTCCCATGCTATGAAGTTGCTTGGGTTTTAGTTTTCCACTTCTATGATGTTGGGTTCACTGAATCCAATGATAATAAACCCACCTTTTTAACTGAAATCCCTTTTCTGCCACCCTAAACCCATCCACATCGCAGGTGAAGCGAAACACGGGCTTGCGCACAGCAAAAGCAAAGCCTGGTCTAAACAAACCTTCCCAGCCAGAGCCAACAACTGGCAGCGTGACCTCCCTGGCCCCGCTGTAATCCAGTCTAACGCTTATGGCTCCCAGGCCTTTTAATGAAAATTAATGAGATTATAATCCCCACTTGTCTCTGGCAGCAGCACGAGGGTTGCATTCCTCGGGAGCTCACAGCTTGGCAAGACAGACACAGTGGTGGCTTCCTGCCGAATGTGCTATTTTGGCAGTAGGAAGGTGCCCGTGCCACCTCCCAGCTTCACCAGTGCAGATCGGAGAGGGGAAAGGGGCTCCCCTGGGGTCCCTCCTCAGTAGCAGACCTCATCTGCTCCCCCACATCCTGTCAGATGCTGCAGGGTCCATCTGTACCGCAGCAGCCAGAATGTGGCCTTGCAGCAGCACTCTAAGCCCCAGGGCTCACACATGCATGTGCAGGTGAGGCGATGCACACATGTCCACTGCCTTAGCAATGAGTTTACTTGGAGATATGCAAGAAGACAGCTCCCACATTCATAAATGTATAGGGAGGTTCTTGAGCCAATTCTGACTTTTCTATTCTACCTATAGATCCATAAGCAAAAAATTCACCTACACAGTTAAAAACGAAGTACAAACTGTTGTCATTTAAATTAATGGGCTTGTCAGTGCAGTGTGCATCCATAAGGGAGGTGGACTGCAATCAGAAATACATGATACCAAGCTCCACTGCCTCACAGACATACTGACTCAAATGCATAAAAGCAGAGGTACCAATCCATCCTCCTGCTGCAAGGGAGGATCAACTCTATCTAAAACCTGGCACATGTCTGTATAATCTGTTTACAAAACCCTCCAGGGGTAGGGACCCCACAACCCCCCTGCAAACTACTTGATGGCTTATATTCCTTTATTGCCAGAAAACTTTTACCCTAATGCCTAATCTGTCTTTCTCTTATGCAACTTAAGTAAATTACTTCTTGTTCTGTTTCCAAATTGTGATCTACCAGAGCAAGAAGCATTTAATGAAACAATTCGTATATTCACAAGATCAGCAAACTTGCCTGAACACTCCCCTTGTTCCAGGGATTAGGAAAATAAAGACGAAAGAAGAGCTCAGGCTAAAAGGGGACGATCCAAGCAAATGAATCTGAGTAAAGAGTGGGTCTCAGAAAAATACCTGTGCTAGGAACATAACTCCAGTTTGAGCAATGAATGTCTATGCTATAGATTTGAGTTAAAGACTGTAAGAGATGGAGAACCCACTATCTCTCCAAGTAGACTGTTTCAGTGTTAATTACTAAGTCTTTATTTCTGGCCTGATCTGCTCAGCTTCAACCCCCAAACACTGCATCTCATTATTTCCTCTTACGTTAAAGAGCAACATCTAATCTGGCCGACAGCAATCCCTTCTTCATGTTCATGTGCATGGCCTGGAGCTCAGCCACCTCTTCACTTTCGTCGTTCACAGCAAAGAACAGCTCCTGGGCCCCAAATAAATTCTACAACTGCTTTCTGAACCCTCTCCAATTACTCGGTCCTCCATCCAAAGTGTGGACCAGACAGACAATTCCAGCAGCAGTCTCCCGGATGATGTGTGGTGATAATACCACCTACATGGTTTTGAATTAAATTCTACTAGCAGGCACTCAGGATAACACAGATTTACGCTATCTTATGTCAATTCAACTTAGGGGCTGCTGCTTATTTCTCAAGCCTTGATTTAAAAAGCTTTTAAACTTAATTACATTCTTGGTCGTAGAAGAAATCTGGGTGGATTTGCAAAGCAGGGCATGATGCAGAGCTCTGGTAATAATAGAAACAGTAACAGTCGTTTTCGTTCGAGTGATTTTGTGTTTCCTTCAATATATTCCAAATTATAGTAAAAATTCCTGATTTAAGATGAAAGGCCAAAGCTTCAACCTCATCTGCTGTATATGTGTCAAACTGAGCTCCAGAAACACAGGAGACTATTAGCAAGGTGCTCTGATTTACTGATGAAACAGGCTGAAAAAAAAGGAAAGGGAGCACAGGATCTTGGGCACATGCCAGCAGCCACTTCACCCGAGCTGCATGATACTGTCTCGAGGAATTAGAACATGACAGCTGGCATAAAATAAACTTGAGCTCCCCGTAGAATGAAAAACCAGTTAAAACCTACCAGGTCCACATGGGTTTGCAGGCTGAGGGCTCTGACAGACACACTCTGGCAAATACCACTGCATCACCTTCATATGTTGTCACCTCTGAGATCTATCATGCCCCAGGCAGGAGGTTACCACCTCCATAACATCCACGATGCCCAGGCAGGAGCTTAGTAGCTCTCAAAAGGGGAACCTTTGCCCTCTCCTCAACTCCACCAGTTCACAATCCAAGACCCTAGCTCTGATCCCCAGCACATTTCTGTTGGATGATTAGACCAAAAACTGGCAGCTGCAAAGCTCTTAGAGCCCTAAAGCTGCAAATGTATTTAATACAGCCCAGCAGGAACAGGGAGACTTCTTACAACACCTGCCTGGAAATCTGCTTCTATGTTTCTGCTGCCTTCGCCAGTATGTATTCAGTGTTACTGCCAGTACCACACTGTCAGTCTGCGGAGCAGGCAGCAGCTAAATGTATTTCTTCCCATCCCCTGTGTGATCCTGGGACTGTATAAGCAGGTGTTGCCACCTAAAACATTCCTTTATTCAGCCACTTTGTAATGAAATGCAAACAGAAAACCTTGGGTTGCCTTTCAGGCTAACAGTGTCGAATGAATTATGCACAGATTAAAGGTACGCTAGCTCCTGCAGCAACCCCAAGGGGGCTGCCCCAAATACACTGAGATGGTGAGCAGGCTTTAGTCTAACTAACAAAGGAGCAGTTAAACTTAATGTGATCCTCTTCTTGCTGCTGAGTGTATCCACTGGAGAGAATGGAGTTTTTAAAGTGTTTCTCAATGGGAAGTCAGAATGGTCAGGAACAAAACAGCAATGCCTTCAGCACTTACACACACACACACACACACACACAAAGCGAGTGAGAGAGAGTACCTTAAATCTTCCAGACTCTGAGTAACCATTAGTTATCCTAACAGGGGGTCTGGCATGCTGGATACCCCGATAGTATACATTCAAACACCACCGAGGTGAATTCACATTTCATCTTTCCAAGACAATAAACTGCACTTAAGTTACTTTCAGGTAGTTGGGAAAATACCTGCTCCTCACAAGACCCCTTGTGCCCCTGCACCCAGTGGGCTCCTGTGATTCACCCCCAGACCAGCCCTGGGAGGGTGCAGGTGGGAAACGTGGCACTGAAAGGGAACAGACCTGCTCAAGATCATGCCAGCAGCCTGTGCCAGAGCCTGAACCTCTACCCAGCTTGCTAAGATAGAGATTCATCAATGGCCCTCCCCTCCCCAGTGACCTGCCCACTCAGATAGTAAAGATCATGTTTCTTTTATCACCCATAAAACATGTTCCCTTTTTGTTGGTCCCATGGACAGAGATTTTAGGTCCCAAAAGGCCTCTTTTAATAGTCAGAATGCATAGACTTTCAGCTAGGTATTAAACCCACACCTCCTGATCGAAGGTCCTTAAGGAACACAATAAATGGGAGACTTGGAGAGCTCCAGTAATAAAGAACTGACAACATCACTGTTAGTTATAATTCAAACAGAGCATTATTTCTACTTGGAATCTGTTTAGCTTCAGCTTTCAGCTACTAGACATTGTTCTGTATTTGTCTGTCAGTTTGAAGAGCTCTCTGTTCCTAAGATTTCTGTTCCTATCTGAATACCTGTTTTCACTATCAGGCTTATAGGATCACTGCTTAAAGACCTCTTGAAAGTTCTGCACTTCTTAGGACTCATGGAATGATAGGGGTTTTTTCAGTTCCCAAATACAACCTGTGGCTCTTTGTGCCTCTAAATCCTGGACAGTCTGATTTCAAACCACTATTCAGATGAGAAGTTACTGAGCCCTGTGCTGCTGTGCACATCTCAAAAGCCCCCTGGCATTATCTGGGGATAAATGGGATGCACCAACACCACGTATTTGTGTTGCAGTCCCATTCAGTGAGTAGTCAGCTTTTTATTTGATACTTCTACTAAATCTTACCATTACCTCAGTCACCAACTACTTGAGTTTGGTGCTGCTCCCGGCTCTGCTCTGAAAACATCTATGGCTGTGGTCCCCTTTGCTTGCTTGTTCGGCTCAGCGCTGTATAACTATGCATTTTCTCTGTAAAAAGGCCAGTACAAGGGGAGCGGGAAGACCTGCCACACCATGGCTGGGAGGGATTTAGGACTTGGAGAGAGGAAGCTCTAACCACGAGCTACCACTGTCCTCAGAGCACAGAGATGCTGCCCGTGCCTCACCTCCTCTTCCAGTTTGATGACCTTGGCTTGCGCGTTGTTGAGGGCCTGGTCGAGGATCTCGATGTGCCTCCGCTGGTCCTCATTGGCAGAGCGCACAGCTGCCAGCTCCATCTCCAGCTTCTCCTTCTCCTTCAAGTGCTCTTTGTCTGGAAGGAAGACAAGAACAGGAGCCATTCCAGCAGGACAGCTCACAGGCTGGGCCATGCACCAGAGGTAACCTGCCACCTCCATAGAAAAGCAAGATTTATGTAAAGCAGCAGCCACTGGGGACATTACAACACAGCGCTGAGACACCATGGGCAAGGAGTTTCTACTATCAAGGCTCAGTCCCTCAATGCCAGCCTTAAGTGAGCACCAGCAGCAGAGATGAATGGCAGCTTGGGCTGCATCTGCACTGACAGAGCTTGTGGATCTGAGCACGGCCTCATAAAGCAGTTCTGCTGAACCACCAGAACGTTCCCCAGCTAAAACTTGGCTTGCATCAGCCACTCCTTTCCCATACAACACCCTGCCTGCAAACAGCCTACATCAAGGACTGTCTATACCTGCCAGTTCAGATGTTGTTGCCCTTCTCTAGGAAAGAAACCTCAGCCCCATGGACATGAGCTGTGCTGTTCCTGGTCCGTTTTATTTGCAAAGACGGAGATCACAAGAGATGTGAAGAAGCCAAAAACTAAACACATATCTGTGCTGGACAGCCTGAAAATGGAAAGAGGGGAAAGCAGTAAGGAAGGATAAGATAGGAGGCATCTGAACAAGTCATGCAGAGGAAAGGAGGCTGTGGGAGGCATTTCAGCCCTGCAGAGGCTGTGGGTGACTCTCCAGTCCAGCATGACCTAAGGGTCCAGTGATCAGTGTTCCCCTCCTTGTAAGTGCCTTAATGCATCAGGAGTGAGACTAAAACACGTAGATAACCTCTGTGGAGGAAAATCATCCCTTTTTTGGGTAAGATTTAAGACGATGTTATAAAAAGACCTGGCTAAATTCAGTCAGCTTTGCTCACATCTTTTCCTTCGGCAATGAATTGCAGGCCCACCACTGACGCTGCTGGCAAACTGCCTGGGGAAATGCTTGGCTCCATCTACCTCTGCCCTGACAGTGCTGAGAAGCCATTTCAGGGAACAGGAGCACTGCACACCAGTCACTGGATCCCTGATGTTGGACCATGAAGAGTTAATGATTGGAGCAAGCAGGGATGGAGACTTCATTCAGCGAAACCTCAGATTTCGAAATCTGGCCTTTATTTTGAATGACAACAGAAATAGAGCATTTGGAAGAGAAATTTCCTCCAGAAATAATTTGGCATCAAGTAAACCTTGCTTTGGGTTTTAACTTTTTTAACACAGCATCACAGAATTTATTATTTTTTAACTGAAGTGAAAAGTTGCTCCAAAACCACTGAAATGTGGAAAATCTGCCCCTATTATCCAGCCTGTCCAAACCAAGTGTGACCACTCAAGCTGGAAGCTCTACCATCCACCTCCCCAAGAGGAGGGTCAGGAAAGCTCACGTGGCCAGAGCCAGCCCATTTCACACCTGAACTATCCACAGAAGGGCCTCATTCTTCCTTAATTACAGGCAGGATGAGAACAGGTTTAATTTACACACTATTGGTAGGTGCCTGCATCAAGGTGAGACACATAGGAGCTGAGCCATGGGGAACAACACACAAGTGGACAAGATGAGCCCAAACCCACCCAGCCATCTTCCCATTTATCTGAAAAGTAGGAATTCAGCACCTCACAAAAATAAAACGTGGCAGCAACACTGGCACATTTGCTTTGGCAAAGCCCTGTGACTGCTGCACACACCATGAGCCATTTTGGGATGATGTAGCCTTGCATCTTCCCACGTTGGCAAGGGATTTTATACTGAACATGCAGACCTCTTCCTTCAACACAAGTACATCTAATTCCATCAGACTGAACAGAAGGAACGTTAGGATCTACAGCACAAAAGTGAAAATCTGGGCAAATTATCAAGCAGCTATTTCAACAGAGGGCAAAGAAGGGGAAGATGAATGCTATTTCAGCACTATGGCACTCCACCTCCTCATGTCGGGACCACGCTACATTTTCTACCCTCCCCTCAAAGGAGGACAAGATGATGCTGTACACAGAATAACCACTGAACCCAATAGAAAGCTGGCAAGAAAAATTCACTCTCAACACTTCCCCATGTCACCTTCTCCCTGCAAAATGCTGGAGACACGGTTTTATAACCACTTTCCTATAGTGTGTTAATTTGTAGTAAAGAAGGACTTTGTTGGATATACCTTCAATTCTCTTCAAGTACATTCAAGGTACCCTTAAAGTCTAAAACTACTGTTTTACAGTGCTACCCTTGCATACACCTTCTGCTTTTTTACCTAAGAGACTCCAGCTAATCACTGTTTCCATTTCTGGTGGGTCACTGGAGCATCCTATTACAGAACAGTTCCCAAAAGGCTTCTTTGCTGCAATTTACAGTTGTAATCTCACAGCTTCCCAACCACTGCCTCTGATGTACCTCAACACACTGAGGACATTACATCTATACTCTGGCTGAAGAAAAAGGAGAGAAAGGAAAGAGCCTGCTTCAGTGCTTCACAAAAAGCATTTTTGAGTTGTGAAGCTGGGTAGGTACATGAAGAGTTCACCAGTCTCGACTCTGCTTTGAAGAAGAAACATCAGAGAGAAAGAGTCGATTCTGTGCCACCTCTTCCCCACACTTAGATAAAACCCCCAGCTTTTCACACATTATATCTAAGTATCAACTTATTTGACCAGTTTAATGCCCACCTCAATACACCCATAGCTGCTTTTCTCCTTGCTGTGATATTGCAGAGTGGTAACAGATGTATTTTAAATACACACCTTGTTTCTACAGAATGAACACTGCTGGAGGAGGAAAATACATCACATTATGGCAGTGGGAGCCTAATTTGGCGACTAGAGATTAGCTGGAAAAGAAGACTGGCTTTTATACCATGTCCACCATGGTGTTTCTAACAATTTCTCTTATGTACGTTCTCTTATTGCCTTTCCCAGCGGTGGCTCTTTGCTCACAACTGCTAATGCCTTCTTGAATAAAACTTGTGGGGCTCATTTAGCCTCTCATCAGTCTTACAACTCCTGACAAGGCAAGTGTGTGGAGGAGCTCTGCCATTCACTCCATGGGCAAGGGCATATGTCACAGCTGCTGCTGGTCACCCTTGGACCAGCTGACTCATGAGCATGGGCACACCAGAATCACCTCTTCTGCTCATCCAGCTCAAGAAAAAACTTGGCCAACTCCAGTGCCCTGACCTTCCCAAGAGGATGCTGAGGCAGTGAGGATGAAGAGCAGGACAGGCCGTTTGTGCCCCACCACTCTGCCCAGAGAGGCCAGAAACGAGGACAGGACCTTGTTGCCTGCTCCAAAGACCTTTCAGCGGCTGGTTCCCACCCATAAGAATAAGCTAAATAAATGCATAAATAGAGCCTATTCACTCCATGCAGGCAGCCAAGAGGAGGCTTCCCACAGCTTTACTGAATTCTTTGCCCATTAAACAGGGCCAGGTTGCTGGACATTGACATTTCCCTCCAGAGGAGCAGCAAAGCCACTGTCCGTCCATCTGTCCTTCTGCCTGAGCCTTGCTGCAGCCCCTGCAGCTGTGATTAGATGCTGACTAAGCTGAGTCTGGAGCAGCAGCAATGCAGAACTGGGAAATGAAACATTTCTTTCCATCCCCACTGGCAGGTCTCCATGAGAAGAAAAAAAGAAAGCAGATACCAATGCCAAAAGAGCTCATTGCAGTCTTCTCCTCCTGCAGTTTCATTCATAAATGGCATGCTTCCCACAGCCCTCTGGAGTTTGGGCCACACCAGCACCAAGAAAAGGCTGAGAAGCTGCAAGAGGTCGTGCTTGAGTCCCTGAGTCCATTTTCTCACATGGTGGTTAATGGGGATTCCACACTGCAATTAATAATTATGATCAATTATAATGTACTTAACAAATGGCTTGGGGTACAGGGTTACTCACGGTCACCGACCAAAGCAGGGATGCAGAAAGGTTTGGTGCTCTGTTGTCACAGAAGTCATTGAATCTCCATTGTAGCCAGTGACGGCTTTCCTTACCCTACAAAGTATCGTGGGCAGCTTGAACTTGGTCTGATTTACATCTTGGACATTCCATTTGCATGTCATGAAGTACAAGTCGGGGGAATCTGACCTTCATGTGTTGAAAACTGAAATCAGATTTCCCATGCCCTTTCCCTTCAGAGGGCAGTGGGAAGGCAAGTAAAACAGATCCATTTTATAATGTGACACTTCAGGATACTGCTCCATGCGCTGGTGGCCCTTGGCTCTGGGTACACGGGGGCAGCAACTTCCCCTTCCCCATGTGCAGCTCATGGGCAAGGAGCTCTGTATCCCTTGCCCCTGCAACTTCTGCATCTGCCCTGATTTTTTCCTGCGTTAATACTGAATGGGTCTTAGCCTGCCCAAAATCCCACCCTCAAAATCATCTACTGTGGGCGTTTTCTTTGGCTGGATTCATTCAATGAGAATATTTCTTTGCCTGGGATACTTGGGACAGAGACATGTGCCCAAGTAGGAGTCACATCCACTGAGCACTCCCAGGGAGCATGAGGCTCTACCAACACACTGCCAAAACTGTCTTCACATCCCCACTAATGGATGCAGAGCCCCGTGGATGTGCACAGACCCCAATCTTCCCTTGAAGGAACGCCTGCTCTGACAGTGTCCCTAAGTCCAGAAGTCCCAGAAAGACACACAGAATTCTCAGACTGTACCATAAGCTTTCTCTCTGCGCTATGCCCTTGAAACCATCCTCAGTCTTTCTGCCTCTCCCCTTCCACAGCTCTTAGCCTCGTCCTGCCTGGCTGCTCTCTCACCTGTATGGGCCCATACACCTTCTTTGGTTGCTGCTTCATGTCTTTCCTTAAAAGAACCTTTTCCACTCACAAACCATCACATAACTGTGATGAAACTAACAGATTGTGAGTTCTCTCCTACACCAATACAACAGCAGCATTTTTCTTAGGCACAAATGCCTGGCACTTAAGACTTTGAGGCATGCAGCCTGGCTTTACCTGTTATTATTACAAAGAATTAGAGCTTTTGAAACCTCTGGTCTCCATCTCAGTAATGGAGAGCTCTGCAAGGAACTGAGAGACAATCCCTGCATATCCTGCCTTGTCAGACTTCTTTTACAGGATTTTATTCCTATTACTGGAGCGTTACCACAGTATTAATTCTCCAGTATTACCAAGAAGGAGCATTAAAAAGCCTCAAGAGCTTTATCTTTCCTTCTTTACCTCATCATGGGACTGGCTTAAAAATTGTAACTTCTAGGAACCCACTGATGTTGAAGTCTTTTTTCTAACTTGGGTCATGGATGTTAAGGGTCATGTTTTCAGGTTCTTTTCCATAAATACAGGGAATATAAATCTGATTTTGCTTTCCTAATGATTCATATTTACTAATCTGACTTAATAAGCTACTACCCTTAGGAAAAACACAAACATGAGGCTCATGACAAAACTGCAGCAGCTGATGGGAGTGCATGGAGGCACCATTTTTTCTCTTCTAAAAATGACTATTTCAGTCTTAGTAGCCAACTGCACACATGGCAACTAAACCGAGCTGCACCCCTTCTCCTCTAAGTTTTCTGCCTAAGCAACCCATCAAAAGATGTGAGGAGGGTACAGACTGCTTGCAAACCTCCAGGCTGGCAGTGAGGGGCACCCCTGGTCATAGCCTGCCCCTGGGCAAGACTCATGAACAATCTCAATGTACAAATCATAGAGTCACAGAATGGTTTGCGTTGGAAGGGACCTTAAAGCTCATCCAGTTCCAAGCCCCTGCCATGGGCAGGGACACCTTCCACTAGACCAAGTTGCTCCAAGCCCTGTCCAACCTGGCCTTGAACACTGCCAGGGATGGGGCAGCCACAGACTCTCTGGGCACCCTGTGCCAGCGCCTCAGCACCCTCACAGGGAAAAATTTCTTCCCAATGTCTAATCTAAATCTACCTTTTTTCAGCTTAGAACCATTCCCCTTGTCCTGTCACTACACGCCCTTGCAAAAAGGCCCTCTCCAGATTTCTTGTCAGCCCCTTTAGGTATTGGATGCAGTCAGCAACAGAGGATTTCCAAGCAAATCCTTTTATGGGCTCTCAGAGGGGTTTTAGGCAGGTAGCTTGATATCAAGGTCATTACTCTGCATGCCCCAGCTCCAAGAACATGACTGAAGAGGACCTGCCTTACATGTGCCCATTTTTCTATTCTTGGAAGCACTCTGCATTGCATTAGTAACATTTAGCTCTCTGGCCTAGCCAGGAGACACTCCAAGCATCCAGACCATCTTATGTGACAGGATCCGAAAGCTATATTTGTTTGTAAGCTGTGAATTGATAGCAGCAATATACTGAGAGCTCAGCACAACTTCTCGTTGCTAGATATTTATCAGTAGAAGCACAGAGCATGTTTATGCACTGGAAAATAACTCAAATAACTGAGTCCATCCTGGGGATTGAACTCTCCCTTGTAGCTACCAGTTTATGGGAACACACAGGAAGTCTGTGTGAAGACAGCAGACCCCAGTCTGCAGTTTGCACTGTGCAACTTACCCTGTTTGAAGTCTTCCCAAGGACGACAACACCTACATAGCAATGCTGTTTTCTTAACAGATCATCCCCTTGGATTCACAACAGCATCTACATGCCCTTGCAGCAACTGCTAATACGGCAAAGCTAACACAGTCATGGAAAAGATCATTAGATTCTCTTCTGGTTTGTGCACACATGCACCAAATGACAGTGAAGTTGCTGTGTTGGCATCAAGGAGATGGTTCTCCTGCATTTGGAGGAGCTGGTAGACATTGCAGTGAAGCACACGGAGTAGTATCAAACACTAATGGAGGTGGCCAGTTCTCCACTGAAGGATCTGCAGTTACAGCTCATCTTTCAAGTAAGCTCTTGGTGCAATAAATAAAACAGAAAGATTAGATGTACACAGCATTCAGCTTCAATGGGATTTCAGCCCACAAGGTACTGCACAAGCCCTTCTGGAATGCTGAAGATGCTCAGGATACGAGAGAAGCCACACACTCAGGCAGCATCCAGCTGCTTGGGTTTTGGATTGGATGGTCACATGGAGCCACCAGCACACGGCAGGGAAATGCTGCAGCACTGTGCCCAGGCATTATGGGAGCCTAAAATCTTTTGGGGATGGATGCTTTTGTTGTAAAATCTTTGCCTTTTCAGTCCTTTGTGAAAAGGATGATCCAGCTCTGCTCTCCCTCCTGTTAGTCAAACCATGGCACTGACCAAGTCAACAGAGGTTTTCTGGGCTTTGCCCAGCCAAGTGAAGAACCTGGCTTCCCTAAAAAGGACGCATCCCTGGAGATGATCCCTGCAAGCAACACTTCATCATTTCAGATAAATATTTATCAAAAATAAGCTGTGCTTCCATTAACTCCCACTGCTGCTTCTGGTGCTCAGAGAGAGAAAACAAACAGCCTAAACAATCCAGTCTGAAGCTTAAATAAGAGTATGTGATGAATTAGCCGACTTAAACCAAGCCGTAAGGACAGTAATAACTAACAGCAAAGTATTCACCTCCACTCCAGCATGCATATACATCTATGCAATTTCAAAACAGATTAGCACAGTACTCACTCTGAGTGACATAAAGGCCCTCTGTTGATTTATCCTCATGCCCATCGAAGTCTCTGCTGGCCAGCTGCCTATTGGCTGTCTCCAGTCGTTCTGCAGAAAACAGGAAATACTTTAAGTATAAATATATGTATATAAAATTGTAGGCCAAGCAAGGAAATAAGATGCATGCCAACAGAGCAGTATAAATAGACTCCCTGAAGGAGGACACTAAGACGGAGGCTGACACATACATAAAAGATGAGGCCTTTGACCTCTTCCATGAAGCTGTGCCATTCAGATCTACAGAAAGTGGAGGAAAAACCTCTGCCATGCCCAGGCAGTTCATTCCTCACAATGTTCACAACGCACAAGGCATTTGCAATCTGAATTACCCAGCACTGCAAGGGGACGGGGGCCTTCCTGCAGTGGAGTGCTGTCCCTGGGGAGTGAGATGCCCTGGGGGAAGGCAGCCCCCAGCCCAGTGACACCAACCCTTGGGGATGCCTTGGGAAAGGAGCAGTTTTCTGAAGCCAGGAACAGCTTTCCTTAGGAAGGTCCTGCCTTTAAGTGTCTCCCTCCTCCAAAGACCATGCACCACTGCAAAAAGCATGAGCCAGCTTGCAGAAGGCATCTCATTGTATAAGGAGGTACCAAAGTACCCCCATCAGGTACCTGGACAAGTAATAGCTACCCAACATACCCCCCATTTCCTTTTTGGAAAGGATATACTCTCAATTTTATGTTTTTAATACAAAAAAGAGATACCCTCTGATACTTGCTACTGGTTCACAAAGGCACTGAACTCCGAGATTTATGGGCTGTACAGTACTGCTCTATATCACTATTTGCTCTTCAGCTTGTTAGAGCTGAATGAGACTTCAGGTCTGGTGGCCTTGCTGTCAAATCAATATCTGCAAGTGCCAAATGCAAAGCAATCTGAAGCTCACTCATATTTTGCCAGAAGGTTTCCTGGTCACTGGGGGGGTGACAGCAGTTTTGTCTTATGCCAATGAGCTAGGCCTGATTTCTCCAGATGTTTAAACATCTCCATCTAAAACATACATGAAGCTACTCCTCTAAAGCTCTGCAGCTTGTGAGAAGTGAAACACCACAGCAACAGTGGGGAAAAACCACACAAGCAAGTGCAACGTACCACGGAGATCCCTGTTGAAGTCATGAAGTCTCCTAATTTCTCCTTCGAGCTTGTTCCTCATCGCTTTGTCCAAAGACTCTCTCTTAGTGGTGGTCTTGACCAAGCCCTCATAAGCTTCTGAAATCCTCTGAATCTCTATTTCAAACTGAAAACAGAAAGAGCTCCTGTTAAAGCCCAGCAGGAACACGTCCCATCTCCGTGTTTGCCCATCATGTTTCAATGAGGGTCGGGGCGATGCTCATGCTGAGTGTCACACCAGCCACCAGTTCCACAATGACCAATCTCCCCAGTAGAGGATGGCAGGAAGCCCTGGCAGTGCTGGAGGCTCATGCTCTCCAGCACTGGGGGGCAGCTCACCATGCCATAACACCCCACGGACTCTCTGCTGGTGGCTCCCCAAAAAAGCTTGGAGTGGGCCGGATTTGATGTAACTGCTCATTTGCCTTCACTCTGTGATTGAGGTGACTGTTCTAGCACCATCCAAGAGGAGAAACAAAGGAAATGGTGCATTTGTGTGGGATGTATTCTTGCCTAGAAAGTGATGTAGAAGGCAAAATTTGTTATTCTGCCAGATCCCAGATCCAAAACTTAGCTCTGGGTGCCATCAGAAGTGTTCTAGACTCAACTCTGACCTCATGTCAGTTTTAAACTGTTGTGGCTCACTCCTTTCTGTCCTTGACTGAACACTGCTCTATACAAAAAGAAACTCTATAACAGATAAAAGAAATCTTCTGGGTTTTCAGTTTTCTTAACTTCATCTCATCGAAGTCCAGCAAACTGGAGGCAGGGCAGGCAGAGGAAGTCTTTAGCAGTGGACCTGCATGTTAAGACCTGAGCCCTAAAGACTGACGGGAGGATAGTCCCCAGCAGAGTTTTGCTGTTGAGGTCAATCCAAACAACTCTTTTAATAAGCCAATGTTATGTTAACTGTTACCTCTCTACTAAAATCATTGTTGCAGGAATGATCAAGGCCAGTGTGAGAATCTGCTCCTGCATGCCTGGCCCTTGTGTTCATGGAGGAAACCTTGATGATGTGCACAGACTGAAGAACTATGAGATAAATATAGCCTCCCACATACCTTTCTAAATGCAGTGCTTTTATAGCCTCTTGAATCATGGGTGGGATGGATTCGTGATTTGTTAAGCCAAGGTGCAAGCCCACCTCCACTGAAGGTAGGTCCATCTCCAGGGCTCACTAAGCTTTAGGTGTAATTTGCCAGCTGCAGCACTAGCAGAATACAAGCTCCAGGGATGCTGGAGCTGTCACCCATTGCCCGTGTAGGAACCTGCAGCCAGGCTCCAGCAGCCTAGACCCTTGCTTCCCACGGTGATAATTGTCCACAGCTCCAACGGGATGACCTGTGGAACCAGCCATATCCCATGCTGTGGCACCCCTTCTTGGGTGAACTACAAACCTAGTCAGATTATTCTGACTTTCCATTTAAGTTTCTCTGAAGCAGGAGCTCCAGGAAGCCCCGTTACACTTTCCCTATCTAGGAAAGCAGGTCCTTCTTCCCCACCCTGCTGAGGCATGGCCAGACACCACGTGTGCTTCCACCACAAGAACAGCACACTTGAAGGAATGCTGCGTGAATCCAAAGCTGTCTGAAATTCGAACGGAACCTTACTGTGGTTCAGAAAAAGTCGAGTTCTCTTTTTCCTCATAGGCTGGCAATGCACAAAGCCTCGTCAAGCAGTCTTGACCTTTCACAGTTCTGGGCCCCATCATTTAAGAAGGATGTGAAGGTCCTTGAATGCATCCAGAGGAGGGCAACACATGGAATTCCCTATGAGGAGCAGCTAAGAACTTAGCGTTTGGTTTGGAGAGATGAGTCTGAGGGGCAACCTCACTGATCCCTACAGCTTCCTGAGGAGGGGAAGCGGAAAGGGAGTTGCCGATCTCTGCTTCCTGGTACCAAGTGACAGAACACATGGGAATGGTTTAAAGCTGTGCCAGGGGAGGCTGAGACTGGACATGAGGAAGCATTTCTCTATTGAGAGGGTGGTCAAACATTGGGACAGGCTTCCTAGAGAGGCGGTCGATGCCCCAGGCCTGTCAGTGTTTAAGAGGCATTTGCACAATGCCCTTAATAACATGCTTTAACTTTTGGTCAGCCCTGAATTGGTCAGGCAATTGAACTGGATGATCACTGTAGGTCCCTTCCAACTGAAATAGTCTATTCTATGACTATGACTTACAACCAAAAACCAGTTTCATGCGAATTTTCCAGAAGTGATGTTGATTAGTGACTAAAGTAACAGCACTTGATTCTGTTACAGCTTCTTCTTTAGATCAGTGTGACCTCTGCTAGCAGAAGGTTTCTCTTCCTGTAAATAGTTAGAGGCTATAATCAGCCTCTGTGAGGAGGCACCATCACACTGCTCTCCTTGACCATTTAAGCAGACTGAGATTCTTTCTCCTTGAAAGGAAAGTTTGGCTTAGCACAAGTAATTTTTAAAGCACTTTCCTGAATCTTTAAGTATGTGATCCCAACCAGAAACCACTGCTCCTAGTTGGGTGCCCTGACACCCTCTGGTTTCCATACCTCCCCTCTCCTGGGTGAGCCACTACCTGCAGGAGAAGATGCCTGCTCCAGAGTGCTCCTACCACAGTGAAGCAGATTTGTCAGCACACAGGGGGGTTCCCACAGCCCAACAGTCCTGCCCAATGCTGCTGGTTACCACATGGGCTCTGCTCTACCCATTGTCTGCTGTTATTTCCCAAAACACATCACCACAAAGCCTCCCGCAGCCCTGCAGGCAAAGAGTTGCTGCAGGAAGAGAAAGAAGCTCAGTCAGCACTGAACAAAATTACAGGAGAGCAGAATGGCCATAAATTGTGTTGGTGTTTCTCAGCAGCTCTGGGATCTCCCTCCCTTGCTTCTCTGTAGGGGAAAAAACAGTTCAGCCTCTTCTCTGCCTGGGAGCTCCTAGGGCCGACCCACTTGAACAACCCACATACACAGCATGGGGACGATGAGCAGCCCAGCCTGGCAATTACACTTCAGTGAGGTGACACCCTCCAACAGAAAAACAGCAGCAAAGAAGGAGAAATTAATGCTTTGCCTTTGCAAAAAAAGCTCAAAATTAACTGTGCACAAGGCCCCCGGAATCTTTTTAGGTAAGAAAAGCAGACAGCTCATCAAAGAGCACGGGGATGAATCACCGCCTTGTACCTAGTGCAAAAAGTCTGCTCAGACACAGCTGAGAATGTGACAGCCCTCAGGGCTGATGTGTTCACACAAACACCCTGACAGCCCTCCACATCAAGCTGATTTCCCAATTTCTTCTCCTATTCTGTAATGAATGAAAGCAATGGAATGCCCTACCTAGAATAAACTTGCTACACACAGGCAAACAAGAACTCCTCATGACCCTTCCCACTTCCAACAAGGGGGAAGAATTTTCGCACCCAAAGCATGTAATTTAATTCACTGTCATGTTTTCAGAGGTGATGTTCAGCTGAAACTGTGGGAACAGAGGAGGACCTGCCCTGGCCTGTGATCAAACACATTAAAACCAGCATGGGAGGGATACTGTGTGTTAAGGCTTTGGTTGAGGATGTTTTCCTGAAGAAAGAATGCACTTGAGCATGGGTTTCACTTCAATACTCCGCTTACATTCCTCCAAAGTCAATGGGACTCGAGTCCACACTGTTGACTGAAGTGAGATTTCAGCCCATGCTTGAATACCTTTCTGTTGGTGTCTGATGCAATTGACTCATGGGGCATCCAAGATAAAGAGAGAGCCCTTTCCAAGAGCATAGAAGGAAATTGGAACAGTTTTAGGGCATCGCACTCAAATACCTTTAACTGAACAATGCAGCTTTTGTAAAGTTAGTAGCTGGACTATTTCTTGTTGCCCACGAAGGCCACAGGGAAGTCAGTGCTAACATCTCTGCAGACATCTTCACTAACAGTTAATGTGGCTGCAGACATTGAGATCCCAATGAAATTTAGGAAACCCTGTGAATAAACTCAAGTCATCTGGTTGCAGAGGAAGGGGCTGAAACAACGACAGCAGCTACCAAACAACAGGTCTTTGTACTAACCCGGGTAAATCATCTCTCAGAGCTGCCTCTTGTCTATGAAGGGTGTCTCCAAGAGCACCCTCATCTCACATGGCACAACAAAACAGAGCTCCTATTTAGACTCCTAAACTCAGAGAGGAAAGACCTGCAGCCTAGGCCCATGTGTGTACATGCAGTGGGAAGACATAACTGAAATGGCAGTGTAGGTTCCTAAATAACTTATTTTGGCCTCTCTGCTTTGCCTTCAGCAAGGTCTTGGTTTTAAGTAATTTTTACTTCATTTGATTTGACTCTTTATCTTGTCTTGTGTGCTGCCTCGGGTGACATCAGCCTCCTCCACTGCAAACGCCAGCTTGCATACAGAAAACATCTCCTGGCAGGATCTCTTTGCAAAAGGGTATTGAGCAAAATCTTTAGGAAATGGTTCTCTCAGTGCTTTTTTAACCAACGTGTTCAATGCTGGGTATCTAACATCAGCCCTTGGAACCTATAGAGCATTCACTGAAAGCCTCTGAGACAATCAAGTTAACACATTTCCAAACAACGGGCAACCCAACTGATGGCTGTTACACTTCCAAAGAGCCTGGAGCACCACATGAGCCTATTGCAGTGACAAGACCGCTCAGGACAGATGTGGCCATGCTCTTCAAATGCTTCTCACTGGCAGCTCTACCCCCTATGTAGATGGTGCAGGAGCATCCTCTGCCTACAGGAGACTTCCAGGGAAAGCTCTGGGAAGGCTAGCATGGGAGGATGGAGGTGGAAAGTCCCCCGCTATGAAATATATGATGGGTTGCCCCATTTCACGCTAAAGGCAGGAAAGCCCAAAGGACATAATGCACAGCCTTACACTTCTGGAGGACCACCATGGAGAGGCAATGGTTAGAGACAGCCACTGGCACATCACCACTGGAGTGACATGATTATGAAGAACAGCTTCTGACACCCAAATGCAGAAGCACCAAGGCAGTTGCCTGCCCAGGCCCCATCCCCACCTCTCACATACCTTCTGCAGCTTGTCTGCCTTCTCATAGTACCCCTCCAGCTCCTGCCGCAGCACGTGGTTCTCCTCGGACAGCATTTCTACCATCTGCTGCGCCCGCTCCACGATGGCGAAGGCATCGGGTGTTAGCTGCTGGCCCGGTGGCGTCGGTGGCTGGGCAGGAGCCTGCAATGGGGGCAAGGTACCCGGGAGCAGGGGGCCGGTGGCAGCGGTGGCTTGTGAGGACATGGGGCTGTGCTGCTGGGCCGGCGGCGGCGGGAAGGGCGGCTGGCATTGTCGGCTGTGGGGAAGCACACATGGGGGAGGCGTTAGAGCCACGCGCACCTCGAAACATGCGCAGGAGCGGTCGCCCGATGACTGCTCGGTTCATTAATAGTTGTGAGCGTGCGGTTGTGATTCCGGTCCTCAGTCACTCCTGGATACCAACAATCGCAGCAGGCAGAGGGTAAATTGTCTCCTTGCCTGCTCTTGACAGTGATGTATACATCTGGCATGAAGGGATAAAGGAAGCATTGACTGGAAAGCGGCGTTTTTGCCTAGGTGAGCAGCTAGTATTTCAGCGGGGAGCCAGCCCCTCCCTGCCCCCCCTTGCCACAAACCCCACTGCTGAGCAGCACAAGCCAGCGGGCTCGAAGGAAACACAAGGGATGCATTACTCACCCTTGGAACACCGCTCCCTGCCTGGAGTGAGACTGGCTGATGGGTTGAACTGGGAGGCGAAAGGAAGTGATGTGAGAGAAGCAGCATCCCCGAGCGGCTTCAGCAAGTGCCAAAGGGAAGGGCTGCTGCGGAGCTGCTGAAGGCACAGCCCCAGTCAGTCACAGCGAGCCAGAAAAGACATCTTCTAGCGCGAGACCTCATTGTGTCACTCCCCGACTAACAGCATCCATCACCCAGGCTCGTGTTGGGAAGGATAAAAAGTGAACGGGCAGAGGATCTGCTTGCGGGCTAAGGTTTGTGACGGTGCGGGCTCTTTAATCCACCCAGTCACAATCTGCAGTGGCTGGAGGATAACCCAGGAGGATGTCCTAGCAGTGAGGGTAAGCCTCCGGATGTGAGCTCAAGAAAGGAGACAGCCCCTGTTTCAAAAGAGGGGAATTCCAGCAGGGAATGGTCCATCTCCATCCCTCCATCCACCACACATGCATCTTCAGAGCCTGGGCCAGGGTGAGCAGCCCCATGGAGACAGCCCTGCTGTGCACAGGCTGAGCCGTTCCTCATCCCAGATGCCAAAGCTGTGGAATTTCTACACCACAGTTGTCCAACAGCCTCAACCCAGACCATGTCTGTGCCAGAATCCATCCTGGCTGGAAAATAAGCTGGCTGCTGGATCCCACCTGAAGTCCACAATCGAGCGCCCTCTGAAAGTTGCATTTTAGCTTACCCACAAGGTGTTGGTTAAGCTACTGCCTTTATTTCTGTACCCTACACAAGGCAGGAGATCTATCAAACAGATGTATTTACCCCATTCAGCCTCAAAGATCCATGAATGCTATCTTTTACACAGAAGATTTTGTGCTATATAAATACACAATAAATAGGATGACTATTTTCTTCAGCACCTACATGGCTTCTCAAAGCGGACGGGCTCAAAAACGCTCAGCGTTGGCCTAATTCTACTGCAATAACCTGTCCCTGCCTTCAGCTGCAGCACAAGATGAAAAGTGAAGGCAATTTTAAAGCTCTGCCCTAAAAGCAACCAGCCCTTCCTTAGACCAAAACCATGCCTCTTAGCAGTCCCCGGTGATCAGAGCCTATGTGGGCCAAGAAGTCCAATGAGCCTGTGCCCCACCATGGGCACAGCTCCCACACCATACTCCTTTCCTTCTGGTGCTCCAGTGTGTAAAGCCCAGCAAGGGATTCCACACCTACGACGGGACTGGAATATTTCTTTGCTCAAGAATCTGAACAATAAAGAAGAACATCAGAAGTGAGGATGTCATGCAAAAGATGCTCCACAAGCACATGCAAATGCAGTCATGCACACAGCACCTCACCAGTGATGCTGACAGCCACTCTGCACTTATGCATTTGACCACAGCAGTCTGTTCAGCTGCAAGTTTGTTTGTCTTCACCAAAATGCAGGCCACAGCTGCCTTTATTCAGGTAAAAGCCTTGTTTGGACACAGTTACACCACTATAAAGACACTACAGGTACAGGTTTTCTCACTTCTTTAAGGGAATAGCTTAAAGCAATGTAATTAAATTGATTTCTGAATCTAAACCAGTAGAGATATAGGAATTTTTCTTTATTATCATCTTTGGTCATAAATGTACCCTTCAAATGCTTGCAGGATCTCCTGACACTGTTCATTTGGGAAATCTCTACCTCCCATCAGTTTAACCTTTTCACACACCCTTCAGTCTGTCTAGCTTTACCCTACAGAGAGAGAAAAGATTTCCTGGTATCTCCATTTTCTTGACCTGCAAACCACTTATTGAGCTACTAAAGATTTACATCTTGTAGCAGAAGCCAGGCACCAGAGTCTCAATAGTGAGGGCCACAGGAGAGATTGTCCAGAGCGTTTTCCAGCTTGGAAAACTGAGCAGGCACAATCCACATTATGCTTTTGAACCACGGCTGTTCAACATAATGAGCATGTTTCTGACTCCCCTTTTTCCTTGTTTGATCTCTCACAGTTTAATTCTGACTTAGCCAACTGCGAAATCTCCAAGTGCCTATGCAATAAAATCAGCACAGCAATTCACATTAGCAAATCAACATTTATAGGAGCAGGAGAGTTACACCATCAGCTTAGCTCACATCCAACCTCTCGTGTAAAGCTCCAAAGAAATGAAGCGATCAGGATTATCCTGAGCTCCTTTGGGCTTAGTAAAGAATGACATTCTCAAAATGCTTCTACTGTATTTTAAATGTTGATCTTGCTCTGCATTAGAGCAGGTTAAAATCTTCCAGCAACACGTTTTCATCAGAAATCATCCTTCTCAGAAGCATGAATATGAGGAGTTTTGGACACTTTACATTTCTATTATAAACATACGTTTTTCGCTGATGTTATTTTAGAGGTAGGGCTCCTATATACTTCTGCAAGGCAACATAAAGAAGAAATAAAGTAAGGAAACCACCTTTTTGAATAGGGAGCACCAGGCAGGCAGTAAGCCTTTCAAAGGCTACCATGCTAGGGCTACCAGACTGCACTCACTCTTTTCAGTTCTGTATAGCTTCTGATATATATAATACCCACTATATATGGCTTGCAATACAGTGCAATACAGTAAAATACTTGACCATGGACCTCACTTTCATGAGAAATCCCTCAGAATTCAGCAAGGCCACTCAAGCCTCAAAGTTCAGGCATGGTCTTAATACACCTCTTATATTGGAGAGCCTGGGAGCAAGGATGTCTGAGCAAGGATGACTGGATTTATGGAGATACAGGAGTTCTGGAGGAATTTGTAGCTGTATGTAGGAATAAGACACCTTATATAAATAAAGAAGAGCTATTGCTCAATAAAGCGGGGCAGTACTAGGAAATAATGTAACACAAATGCCCGTAAATGTTCTGGAAAGTCCACCTCTGCCCTGCTACAGGTACAATGCAGCTCTCCTCTACCTAAAGAGGGAGCGCAGCCAGTGGAGGAAGGACTTTTTTTCCTACATACCGTGGCATCCACATTCATAATTAAAATGCGCTCCTCTAACCTATTTAGCTCATCTTTCTCTGAACGCTCTGCCTTCTTTTGCCTCTAGGGTAGTATGGCCTACTATCTCTTAAAGACTCTCCCTCAAGGGACACAGGTTTACACATTCACCATGGATGCTCTAGTCTAGCTAGTCAGTGAAGAGAAAGAGGTCTTCCTGGGGTGCAGCTCTCTGAAGTTGCCTTTGACTTTTAATTTACAATGAGAGCAAAATGTCCATGAAAGATGCTAATCCTGACCATTGACTGGGAGCCTTGAGTCTGCACATTAACCTCAGACCCAGGGGTCTACCTGACTTCAGCTGTGATTTCTGCAGTCATGAAGAAGACTTCAAATGCTACTCTTTGTAGCAGTGAATAACACAGAGGAATCAGTGCTGTCACTGTGCAGGAAAAAGACGGGAAAGCCAGCAAGCCAGCCTGATGGCCATGGTGCAAGGAAACACAGTTATAGGCCCATTGTTAAATGCTGATACAGCCAGAAATGGAAGAAGACTTTTCATAGCCAAGACATAGTTCTCAGGGCATCCTCTGCCTTTCAGAATCACAGCTGCAGCACCTTGTAAGCACAAAGGTATGTTTCAAAACCCATTTTGGGCATTTGGACTCATGTCTCCAAGCAAAATTATCATCTGAAGAGACACACGCTATATTAAACATATCCTGCACAGTTAAGAGACAGGATATAGCACCTCTTCACAGGGATCCACACTCAGAACAGATAGTCCTTCTAAAGCCCAGCTGACTTTCAGCAAAGGAAAATGTGCCTTCTTCAATCTCTGCACTCCTACAGGAACCAACTGGGTAAGGAGAAATGACACGGGCATCACCCAAACTGATGGGTGATGCTTTCTCTTTCACTTATTTGAATGAAAGGCAAATCAGACCAGGAGAGGACCCAAAGCTCTTCTGCAGGACTGCCAGCATCCACATCAGCTGGAAGCACAGCCTCCTACCCACACTCATGTTTTGGGGCTATCCTCACAGAGAAACACCAGCAGAAGGCAGCTTGGGTGTGACATCCTTGGCCTTGGCCATGCTGCCAGCACACCCACCTGGGTGTCTCGGGGAGGAAAAGGAGCTCCTTGTAGTCCCCTTAGTGGCCACAGACATGTGGCTGAATGACCGAATATCATCAGGTTGTCTGCAAACAGCGGTAATGTGTGCATGGGTTAATGCACAAACAACCAGAGAAGCCACAGGCTATTTCGGCAGCTAAACATAGGCTTCTGCATCCAGGCAGGGTGGGATTTAATGAGGCACATAAAAAAATGGGGTATCTTTAAAAACAGCCCAGCTTTATGATTCAATTGTAAGCAGTCATTTAAAATGCTTGGATTAAATCAGAATTAAAAGGTGCCCGCATGACTGACTTCTGAATGCAGCCACGAATGAAGTCCCCTCAACAAGCAGTGGTGTTTCCAGTTAAGACTTCATCTGCATTATATGCTTTTCATTAACATTATCAGATAATTTTGCCCTGCAAATCTTTGTGTAATCACCCCCAAAGAACCTGGGCCAAGTCTTGCCAGCACTAACAGAAAGAAATCATTGTGGATGAAAGACATCAGGACCTGACAAGGGCCAAGGTAAGCAATGAAGAAGAGGATTCATTGCATTGAGTGATCTGGATCACTGTTTAAGCAGGGCACAGAGAAACAATATGGAATTGAGCATGTCCAAATTCATCCACCCAAGAATAAATATAGCAATATAATACTGTAGCAATAAACTACAGTAAAAGGGTGGAAAATCCTCCTCTGGGCTGTGACAACCCTAACATGACCAACAAGATAACAAGCTGGATGGGGTGCCAATGTCCGAAATGGCAAGTGTAATTAGCTACATAAATGAGGAACACTGAGTCGCATTGCAGAGGTGATGTTGCATCTGATTAATTTCTGGTGCTGCAGTGGTGTCCAAGTCAGCTTTCCACAGTGAAAAAAGGGGTTTTGACAACAGAGAAAAACAGTTACGGGGCTCCAGGCTCCATATGTTAAGTGCATTACAGGACTGATAGAGCAGGGCTCCTCACTGTATCTGACAAGGACATTGCAAAATCCCAACTGGTAACTAGAAAATACAGATTGAAAAGAAGATGCAGAACTGTGCCAGAGATGGCAATTAGCTAGTGGAACAAGCCTGCAAAGGCTGTGATGGATTCTCCAGACACAGAGTGCTATAATCTCCAGGACTGAATGTTCACAAAATGGAATTAATTCAGGGCATTGGACAACAGATTAAATTAGATTATTTCCAAACCCTTTTACCTGACAAGCTGCGACTCTCTGAACAGGCACCTAAGGAAAGTTAGTAAAGACACCATTCAGGAATAGCTGCACATCTAGGAAAGGAAAGGTTTTCTGTTACACTTGGCCAACTTGAAGCATTCAAAAACTGTGAGTCAGGGCCCCAAGCATCATGCAACTGGCTTAAAAATATGGTATTTTAAACCAGGAACAAATATTGGTTCCTTTTTATTTGCCTTCTGGGTTTTATGCCTTTTAAGCTGCGGGGTTCAAGCTGCACTCTGCAATCATGATGTCCATAAAGCAGAGGTCACCAAATCTAATTTATATAAATGCTGCAGCATATGACTCTAGGGGGTCTTGAGGACAATACCAAATCTCTTGAGATTTACAGTAAAGTTGTGAGGTCTTCCCATGGTGGGGAAGGTACTTACTTACTTATAAAGGTAACATTCCCTTTAAAACCAGCCACAAGCACAGAAAAAAGCCAAGTGAAAAAAGCAAGCTAAGCAGCAGCTGCAGTCATCCCATCTCCTCCAACAGCTCCCTTATGAGCATTTCTGGTTCCCAACCACTTCGCCCTCATCACAGAAGGAGGGGAATGGGGTGTCAGTGACCTTACAGGTCTATCCCAACCAATCTGTGGGTGCTTCCTCTAGACCTATGCAGCTCTGTGCTTCTCTCTTTCTTAGAAGGTAGAATCCTTCTGCATAGTCCCTGTCCAGAGAATGCCAGGATGGGAATGATCCCATCCTTGGGAAAGATATGGCCAGTATAGAAGGAATGAGATACTTAGATACATAAGATTCCCATTGGCAAAGCTCTGCTTCTACCAGTTTCTTTCCCAGGCCCTCCTGGGGAGATGAAAGCTGGAATTTCTCACCTAGCTTGCTCCTCTAACAGAACAAACAGACTCTCCAGACCCTACTCTTCCACTAACGTCATGAAATCAGGCAGTTCCCTACCTCAACCTCTCCTATCAAGGTCCTCCATCCCATTCCAGATGGCTGACCGTGAGCCTCCCCAGAGTGCAGGTAAGGGGCAAGCAGCAAGCAAGAGCAGAGGCACACGCAGGTTTGCACTTGGAGCAACCCAGCAGTGTAGCACAGTCCCGGCTCTCCTCCAGCAGTGCTCAGTGCTCAGGCAAGTTCTCTAGCAGAGATGGGGCTGATGTCCATCAGGAAGCAACCTGCCTCCATAGAGAGGAATATGTGGGGAAGACAGTATTTTGCTGCATTTTATAACCATTCCAGACCATGTTGATCCTGTGACACAGCCCGAAATGGGCACAAGGATGTACCAGGGCACAGCTGCCGAGAAACAGCAAGTGATGAGCACATGAACCAGTGGGTTTCTCAGCATAGCTGCTAGGGTGATCCAGCAGAGCCTTGGGGTAAGGCTGGCCCATGCTACTGGCATGGAAACCTACACTGAAATCAAGGCACTTCTCAACATTAACCTTGCTGAACAGGCACCTGGGGAAGGTTTTGGAAGTAGCCCCAAAGGGCTTCCCACTTGACAGCAGTGCCATTTCTCATTCCGCAGCACCCACGACCACTCACTTACATGGACTCAGCAGAAGAGGCCATGGGTATTGAAGCAGCATTTTCCAAGAATGACAAAAACCCCCAAACCAGCTCCTTTTCTGTTGGGGATGAATCTCCTTGGTGCCAGAGATGTTTGTTAGCACTGCGAATGGCTGCAGGAAAGCACGGCCCCTGTTGCCCTCGAGCCTATACAGCTGTTTCTTAGCATAAACAGAGATTTGTGCTGAGCTCTTAAAAATGCCACTTTCCTCTGGAAAAGCTGCATAAACTCGGCACAGTGGAAGGCTGGTAATGAAAACACACGTAGCTGGAGGAAGGCCAGCGCTGCTCAGTATGGGCCCTGAGCTGTCACAACTGCCTTGCAACATCCACCAAATCCATGCTCTGAGTGCATGCAACTAAAGTCAACACCAACAAAACCTCTGGGGATTTTGGGGTCGGTAAGGACCTGATCATAGACTCACAGAATAGTTAGGGTTGGAAAGGACCTTAAGATCATTCAGTTCCAACCCCCTGCCATGGGCAGGGACACCTCTCACTAGACCGTGTCTCCCAGGGCTCTGTCCAACCTGGCAGCTTGCAATATGAAAGCCACCCACATTCACATCAGACAACTCCAGCCTTCCCAATCCAGCAAAACAGGTCAAAGAGACAGCAATGAGACAGAGACACTCTTGTATTTAGGTACAGCAAGGAAAAGGGAGCCCTCACTGCCTGGGCTCACCATCCTGCCTGGGCACTGAGCAGGACGTTCACCGCCCACAGGGATCAGTGCATAGCGAGTGAATACTCTGGTTTATTCTTAATGCGCTTGGAATAAACCCGTGCTCATGGGGAGGCCTGGCATGAGTGGCACAGTACCATGAAAGCCCCCATGACCAATGCTGCATTTTATAACCATTTAGTTTAATTAGGTTTAATTAGGACGTTACAGCGTGTTGTGCTTTATACAGCCCTCCTGGAGGTGCAGATGCCTCCATCACCTGTCCCATGCTGGCCCAGTCACGGGGTGTGATGTCCCCACCATGTGCCTAAGGCTGAAGCCCACAGGAGCTGCGGTTCATGAGACCAAATCACTGCAGAAGCTCCTCTGGCATGGGCAGGATCAGACCCCTTACCCTTGACCATGGCCATTACCTGCTGATTCCATACTCCGGCGGTGGCTGGTACCGGACCAGGGCCACCTCTGTGCGGGCAGAGGGCTGCGGGGCAGCAAAGGAAGCCTTGAGGACATCCTGCGCCGGCTGCTCGCCATAGAACATCCCATGCTCCTGTCCCTTGCTGCCTGGAGTGGGTGCCTTGCCTTTGTAGGGGTACTCGGGCGGCGGGCCCCGTGGGTCCGTAGCCTTGCTGGGCTGTGGGGCCGCCTTGAAGCCTTTCGTGCCACCCGGTGCCGGGGGATGCTGCTTGGCACCATTCCTCTCCAGTGAGAGCTGCATGATCCTCTCGCTCAGTGAGCGGACGTGGCCCTGCTTCAGCTCCTTCAGCGCCTCATCCTTATGCGCCTGCCCGCTGTTGGCCCGGTTCACCGTCGGCCTCCCCTCCGTCCTGGACTTCTGGCTGGATGTGCCATAAAACCCCGGAGCGGCCGCAGTGGCCGTGGGTGCCTGTCCTCGGAAGAACTGAGACTGAGCCTTGGCTTCCTCGTAGGTGGGCAGCTCCTCGGTGCCATGCGGGGGCTGCGGGGCTCGGGGCTGCTTCTCCATCACAGCACCGTCCCCCTGGTGCTCCTGCCCCTGCGGTTCCTGCCGCCCTGACGGCTGGACCATTGGCGGCTCTTCGGGAGCGAGGTTCTCTGCGGAAGAGAGAGTGCTGGCAGTGCTGTTGGAGGGGCCGGCGCTGCCCGTCGCCTGGTGCTGTATGGCCAGCAGGTTCATGTTCTCGCTGGGGTTGCCATACCTCAGCCGCTCCTGGATCAGGCGCTGCAGGACGGTGCCGGCTGCCACCTCGTCCGCCCCTCGCATCTCCGCCTCTGGGACCCGGCGGAAGCTGGGTGGGCGCAGGGTGCAGAGGGCCTCCTCGGCTGGGCAGGGAGAGACAGAGGTGGCCGTTAGCTCTGCTGTCCAGGAGGCTGGAGCTCCTACACCCCACGGCTGTGACCCTGTGCCCAGGATGCACCCCAGGGGCACTGCCCTGCCAGGGCCCCCCTGGAGTAGAGGGAACGTGGCTGGAAGCCACCAAAGGAGGCAGGGCACTACTCTCTGCTCATCCCCCCACCCCAAATCATCCTTAATTGCTTGCAGTGACCCCTAAAACATGTTCCCAGCCCTTCCCTCCATAATACTGCATGTGCCAAATACCCACAGCACCAAATGCCCTCCCAAGTCAATGGAGGGACACACAATGTCATAGGGAAATTTGGTCTTTTTTAAAATATAAATGGAACGGAATAGAGAATAGAATGGAATGGAATGGAAGAGAACAGAATGGACAGCACTAGACTAGACTAGAACAGAATAAGAACAGAATATTTCCGTTGGAAAGGACTTACAACAATCATCTAGTCCAACTGCCTGAACAAAACTTAAAGCACATTGCTAAGGACATTGCCAAAATGCCTCTTAAACACTGATAGGCTTGGGGCATCAATCACCTCTCTAGGAAGCCTGTGTTTGACCTTCCCCCCGCAGATGCCTTGCATTGCTTATGGCAGCAGCCTGTATGGTAATACCACACGGGAGGCTGCACTTTTGATGGGCAAAATCTGATGAGTCGAATCCCCTCCTAAGTGAGGTGCCTGCCACAACAGAAGAACGTGCAGAATGTGTCGCAAAAAAGCTATGAAATGACACTGAAAACAAAAAGGTCCTAAAAGTGTAATTAAAGAATTATCTGTGCTCTGGCATCTTCCCCCAAAAGTGCTATTTCCCGTCTGGCCAATTACACTATTTCTAAGGGAGTCACCGTTGTGATTTTGCTGGTGAGTACAAGGAGGGTGTTACAGTCATAGATTTAACACCAGCACTTAAAAAAGATGGATTAGTTACACCATCCTAACACCCTACTGAAGTCACTCTTCAGAGGCAATGACACCACTTTTGCACTCTATACAAGTGGAAAATGCCTAGAGCTAAGCACCTGATGGCATATAACCATGGCTGGGAGGTTAGAATCTCTTCCTCTTGGAGCTCTCCTCCCACAGCCATCCCAAAAGTGGGGTCTGAAGGGTGTCTGAGTCCAGAGGGGTGTTCCTGAAAGGCCCCAGTGCGGACAAAAGTGAGAATAAGCCCAGAGCTCTGGACAAAGTCCTCCATGTCCCAAGGCAAGGAGGAGGTGCTGTTTTCAGTTCAGACTTTGTGGTCATTCTTAGCAGCCTTCTCTCTCCTGTTGCTTCCAGTTCTCAGAGGGGTTTGTGAGAAGGACTTACATTTGGGTTTTAGCGTTTGAAAGTAGTTAAAAAGCAAACTTTCCCTTGAGGTCTGGTATTTCCCTGAAGTTTCATCAGTTACTGCACATGCTGTGGGATAACTCATACACAACCCAGATACCATAGGGGAAGAAAAGCTTTGACTCTTAACTATTAGAATAGGTCATTTCCATGCTGGGATTGCAACCTGGCCACCAGCACTCAGAGGGTCTGTCAGCTCCCTGGGCTGCTGCAGACACACACATCTTCATCTACCTGTCTGCACCACAGCTAACTGTCCATCTACTTTATACGTCCCTGCAGCTACAGCAAACTCTTACTGCTTTACTCACAGCACACAGAAATCCCCCCAAATTGGGCACCTTTGCAGACCTGCGATAGAACATATCAGTGAGGTCACAGACTAGGCTGTAAATCTGAGACGAGTGGATAAAGCCAGCATCACACCGTCAAGGCAGCTCTTGGTCATACATGAGAAGGATTTCCATCCCTGTACTAGTCACCTGTCAGCATCCTTATATTTGGGAGATGTACTTTAGTTACCTATTAGTGAGGTCCAAAAAGGACTAACTAGAATGAGCCTTCCACAGGCTGCCTGTGGTCCTGCTCCATCAGCAAAAAGCTCTGGACCTCAGTCCAGCTGCACAATGAAGAGCAGCCTTGTCCTGAAGGACAAGAAGCAATGCTGCATCCTCCACAAGCACAAGTGACAAATGATGGTGGGTCATAACACTCAAGTCAAGGTAACTCTCCTTTGACTCCACTGAGGATGAGAAGGTGGCCTTCAGTTCTGTGAGTATTATTTGTAAATAGTCTAAACTGCACAATTTACTTCCAAGGAAAAACACAGAAGCAAACGTGGTGAGTTTGTATGGAAGTGTGGCCACACACTTACCAGCTTTTTCTTTGGCACTGATCCCTTCAGCTGTTAGCGGAGAAACTTCATGCCTGCCAGCAAACAACTGGTGATCCTGGTAAAGAAAGCCAGTGTCTTCCAGTACCTGGACTGGGCTGGTAGGCTTGTAACAAACAGATGTGGAGCCTGTAAGAAAGAAGAACAGAATGTCAGTAAAGAATGACAAAGCGTAAAGCCATGACTTATGACAGAAGTCCAAAAAACAATGTTCTTGAGCATGGCTAGGTGCCCTGCTGAGGCCACTGGGCAAACCACCTCTTCTCCTCACCACCCAAATAACACATTAGCTCTGAGGAGCAAGAGGCAGCCACCAAGTCCAAGTGCTGCTTCACACACCAAACTTCAAGGTCCCCAGTCCAGCTACAAAGCAAGGCTTATAAGAGATACCAGTGACAAGTGACAAACTCACAAATCAAGGCATGGCATCAGGACATGAAGCCAACAGAGGCAGCATAAAACTGAAAGAGGGAGGGGGTAAACAGAAGAAAAGAAGAATAGGTGAGGACCCCATTCCATCCATGAGTGCTTAAGTCTGGGAATTCTTTACCACAAAATCTGCTCATGAATAATAGTTCAGCAATACAGAAAATTGCTGAGACTTAAAATACAGCCAATGCTATCAAGGGAGAGAGTCTATAAATCACTTTGTCCAGATGTTCTTAATATGGTGAGGAGAGGATGTAACTGGAGGGCCATGGGAATGAGTCTGGCAGACAGACTGCACAGGAGCTGCACACCCAAGCTCCTGCATCCCACAGGCATCAGCAGGCGGACCAGTCCCTGTGCTGGTTTTGACTGGAATAGAGTTAATTTTCTTCACAGTAGCTGGTATGGGGCTGGTTTGGATTTGTGCTGGAAACAGTGCTGATAACACAGGGTTGTTTTAGTTACTGCTGAGCTGCGCTTATACAGAGCCAAGGCCTTTTCTGCTCCTCACATCACCCCACCAGCGAGTGGCCTAGGGGTGCACAAGGAGTTGGGAAGGGACACAACCAACTGACCAAAGGGTATTCCATGGCATATGGCATCGTGCTCATCATTGGCTTGACCCCACAATTCAAGGAAGACAGACAGACTGGACAGACTCCAAATGAGGGCAACAAAGATGATCAAAGGACAGCAGAACTGGCCCTGTGAGGAAAGGCTGAAAAGAGTTAGGTCTTCTCTCCCTGGATAAGAGAAGGCTGGGGAAGGGTGACCTCATCACAGTGTTTCAGTATTGTAGCTACAAAAGAGGACAGAGGCTTTCTCTTCACGTGGAGAAGTGCACTGGGTTTGGCTGGGGTAGAGTTAATTTTCTTCACAGTAGCTGGTATGGGAATGTTTTGGATTTGTGCTGGAAACAGTGCTGATAACACAGGGATGTTTTAGTTACTGCTGAGCAGCGCTTACACAGAGCCAAGGCCTTTTCTGCTCCTCACACCACCCCATCACCGAGTGGGCTAGCGGTGCACAAGGAGATGGGAGGGGACACAATCAAGACATCTGACCTCAACTGACCAAAGGGATATCCCACACCTTATGGCATCATGCTCAGCATATAAACCTAAGGGAAGAAGAAGGAAGGGGGGGACATTCCCTGAGACATTGCTCAGGGAAGTTGTGGATGCTCCATCCCTGACAGTGTTCAAGGCCAAGTTGGACAGAGCCTTGGGTGACATGGTTTAATGTGAGGTGTCCCTGCCCATGGCAGGGGGTTGGAACTGGATGATCTTAAGGTCCTTTCCAACCCTAACTATTCTGTGATTCTATGATTCAGACTGATGGTGTTCATCTTCCCAAGTAGCTGTCATGTTTGATGGAGCCCTGCCTTCCTGTAGATGGTTGAATACCTACTTGTGACAGCAAGTAATGAATGATTTCCTTGTTCTGCTTTGCTAACACACAGCTTTTGCTTTACCTGTTAAACTGCCTTTATCTCAACCCATGAGTTTTCTCACTCTTCTGATTCTCTCCCCCATCCCACTGGGGATGAAGTGAGTGAGCAGCTGGGTAGGGCTTAGTTGCCAGCTGGGGTTAAAACACAGGAAGATGAGGGTCAGTGGGTATGAGCTGCACTAAGAGAGGTTTTATCTTAACATAAGGGGAGTCTTTTACAGTGAAAACAATCATTCACTGGAGCAGTCTCCCCACGGACATGGTAGAGGCCCCATCACTGGAGGTTTTCCAGATGTGGCTGGACAGTGCGCAAGATAACCTCATCTAGGCTCCTCTTCCCACAGGTCATACCAGCTCATTTGCTGAGCTCCCTTGCAACCTGGGCTGTTCTACGACTCTCTGATTTTCCACTTCCTACTCATTTTTCTGAACACGACCTCATTTTTGCAAAGAGAAGGCTGTTTGAGGCCCAAACCTTGACATGGCAGAATCACCCTCCACTTACACCACCAGTTGTCACAGGTTTTAGACTAAAGGAATGGCCATCAACCTCCAGCAAAGGCCACTGCCAAGGGACTTGCTTGAGCAGGAGGGTGAGGGCTCAAAGTGGCATCAGTGTGGCATCCATCAGTCCTAGCAGGGCATCCGTCCATCCTGGTGGGGCAGGAAGCCCACAGGGAACTGCAGCACCCTGCTCTGCAGGCAAAAACATCAGCCACGAATGACTTGGACTTATTAAACCCAACTGCTTGGTCTGCGCTCGGCTAACTGTGTGCTTACTGGCATATATTACACAGGGAAGCTTGCTCTCCTTACATACAGGTCATCGCTAACCGCACACCCCTGCATGGAGCAGGGCAGCAGGAGAGCAGGATTCCGCCTGTCTTCTCTACAGGCATGAAGATACTATTCCCCTCTGCGCCCAGAGGAGAGGAAATAGGTATTTCTGTGAAATGTTAATGAATTCACCACTTTACCATTCTTATTATGAATGTGCATGGCAGTTATCTACATTTAGAGATCAAGAGGGAAAGATCGCTCACTTGAGCAGAGCTAAGCTGAGTATGTTTGTAAAACTGATCATGGCAGACTGGTCTGGAGTTCTCACCTAACCACTTGCCTTGGGTTGCCATGGCAAAGCAATAACCTGCTAAAATCAGGACTGGTAAATGCTGACATCTACCAAACTGCTCAGCTTCTGATGCCTGTTATGTCAGAGTCGAAACCGAGTAGCTCTGACCCAGGTAGAAACCACTGCCCTTTGCTGTACCCACATTGAGGTAACATCATAAAATGATGTAATGATGGTTTATGATGTTAAAATGATGCAATGGTATTTTATGTTCATTCACATTAGGTTTTAATAAAACATCAGCTGTAACTGGGACCAAAAGCCAGTTTATGTGTAAAACAGATAACAGTTGCTGACAGATCAGTGCTTGGCACAAGGCCACAATCCATATCATGGGCCATAAGGCATCACTTGAAAGCTTAGTGAAGCCTCACGAGCCATTTGGAGCAAGGCAGAGGCCTTTTTTTCTTCCCCCTATGCTGTCATTAGAGGCTCCCAAATCTCAGCTCTCCTTTCCAGAGAGAAAGGTTTTGCTACACCCAGCTCTGCTGGCGTCTAAGTCTGATGCTCAGGCATTTGCTCCTTCCTCAAACCACCCCATTCTTCTACAGTGCTCACCAAAAAAACAATTTAATTGTTATAACTGAAACCCAGTGTGCCAGGATACAGCCCTGTCAATAGACACCACATCTTCAACTGCCATATAAATGTGTACATGAGGCCCTTAGTGACATGTGGTGGTAATTCATCATCTTAAAGGTCTTTTCCAACCTAGTGATGCACGATTCCATGGTTTGATAGTAGACTTGGCAGTCCTGGGGTAAAGGTTGGACTTGATGATCTTGAAGGTCTTTTCCAGCCTAAATGATTCTATATTATATAGTCTATATTCTAGAATTGCTGTCTCTCACAGCCAATCCTGTAAGACACGATGACATCTGGCCCAGTTCAGTCCTTACTTAATTGGACAGCTGCTCCAGCCCTTCATTTCTGCATCTCCGTCAACTTTCCCACATCTAAGTGATTGTCTGACACTAATCCATTTGTTTTCCTTTTCTTTTAATTCTAAATAAACATGCATTACACCCTGCAGAAGCAGACGTGTTATCCTGGAGGGCTGCTGCACAGCCCTGCAATTCATCAGAGCTCCTTCAGTGAATCATTTGCTAAGATTAACACCAGACAGTCAGCAAGGACCCAGAGACAGAGGAGCAATGCCTAAATATTTCCTGTTTCTGATGTGGTTTCAGTCTGGTTTTGAAAAGGATCTAAAATAAATCCTCATAGGAAGCCCATTGCTGTGACATTACAGGAAAGCCATGTTTTCAGAGCAATAACAGCATCCCCAAGAAGCAAATTTTCTCCTCACCAGAACAGTTGGAAAAGATGGTTTTCTGACAGCCAAACCATAGTACCACTCTAACTTCAGTCAAACACCATAAAATGCCTGTTGTGCAAAGACAGTTTGCTGCTATTCAGAGTCAACACCTCGAAGACGTGCTAGAGTGATGAGTTTCTGCATCACACTCTGCTGCCTGCCTGGGTACCGCTCTGTGGCACAGCCTGTCCTGCCAGCATATACAGCTCCTTCTCCACCACCCAAAACCCAAACAAAACCACAACGCTGTCCTCCAAAAAATCCTCTTTCAATTTGTACCCTCCTGAGTGGTTTGAAAGAGACCAAGGGTTCTGAGCACCATCCAAAGCAATCATCTGAAATCAAATATTGAGTAAAGCAGCTTTACACTTTCCTATAAACTCTGCCGCAGTTTGTAAGGGAGGTCCAAGAATGACAGAACAAAAATGACATCGTTTCCAAGCCCGCATCTGTGCTCCTGTCTCATAGCCAAGCCAGAAAGGAGTGTAAAAACCTTATTCCACACTTAAAATATTCTCTCTGCCCTGTCACTGCAAACAAATCTCAGGTCAACAAGAAAGGATCTTAAGGTCCTTTCCAACCCCAACTATTCTGTGATTCTCTAATTATTTAAAAGACATCACAAAAGGACAGTCAAAGTGCTCCAGGGTCCTAAGGGCTACTCAATGGCTGTGCCCTGAATCTCCTATGGTGACCCATCAGTCTCTCCCATGGGTCACAGGAACCCTCCATCGAGGCTGGATGCCCCTCCTGTGCATCCCAACATGTGAACAGTACTTTCTTTCCTAAGCATCAGCC